CGACAAACATTTTGCACTGTGCATACGCCTTGACAGACTTTTTTGCACAGTGCAAAAGAAATTGCCTTTTTTTTTGTCTTTTTGCACCGTGCGGACTTTGCGACAGACCATTTGCACCGTGCAAAACAACTTTCTTTCCTCTTGCACAGTGCAAACCCCTCGAAAATTCCTTTGCACCGTGCAAACCTCGCGACAGACATGAAATTGCCACTCTTTTATTTTTTTGCACCGTGCGGACTTTGCGACAGACCATTTGCACCGTGCGAAACAACTTTCTTTCCTCTTGCACAGTGCAAACCCCTCGAAAATTCCTTTGCACCGTGCAAATCTCGCGACAGACATTTTGCACTGTGCAAACTCCTCGGCAGACTTTTTGCACAGTGCAGAAGAAATTGCCATTCTTTTATTTTTTTTGCACTGTGCGAATCCCGCGGGAAACCTTTTGCACCGTGCGAAACAACTTTCTTTCCTCTTGCACAGTGCAAATTTTGCGACAGACCATTTGCACTGTGCAAACTTCTCGACAAACTTTTTTTGCACAGTGCAGAAGAAACTTTTTTTTGCACCGTGCGAATTTCACGACAGACGATTTGCACTGTGCAAAACAAGATTGTCGCCAGATTTGCACGGCGCAAAAAAGTCTGCCGAGAATTTTGCACTGTGCCAACAAGTCTTCTTCAATTTTCCGCACTGTGCGTCAACCATTCACAAATTGCACTGTGCGGCTCTAAGCACGTTAACGCGAGGCTTAAACGTCGTCGATCGTTACGTTTCCAACGACGCGCTCAGTCGATGGAGCAATTGCGCAACCGAGGATGAGAAAATTCGATTCCATCGACGAAAAAAACGGCGACGCAGACACTGATTTATTTTTAAGGTGAGACGGAAGCCCATTCCAGCGAGGCCATCGCTGTGAATGGTCGATGGAATGCGTTTTTTCTTGACCAGTTCCTCTGAAGGGAAAGGGAATGGGTTGAGGGCTTTTTGCACGGTGCAAATCCAAAAAATTCTTTTGCACAGTGCAAAATAAGACGCTTGTTTTATTGCACAGTGCAGTTGCAAAGTTTTGGCGGCTTGCACAGTGCAGTGAAAAAAGGTCAAAAAACTTTTGCACAGTGCAAAATAAAAGGCTTCTTTCATTGCACAGTGCGGTTGAAAAGTTTTGGCGGCTTGCACAGTGCGGTAAAAAGAGGTCAAAAAACTTTCGCACAGTGCAAAATCAGGTTTGCATTGCGCGGTGCAGTCAAAAAAAGATTTTTTTCACTGCACTGTGCATTCGAAATAATGACCTTGAGACCGAATTTTAAAGGCATTTTAGCGAAATTTTGCTGATCAAAAGATAGGATGACCTTACTTGTCGATGAATCATGCTTGTTTTTTTGTTGTAATGGTACTTTTTCATCGCAAAAAATTTTTTATAAAATTAAAAATTTTTTTATTTTCGAAAATTTCAAGTATTTTTCTCCGACAAATCCGTCGACAAATTTTTGAGTCCATTTACGAATATTCAGCGTCTCCTTTTATCTTCTTTGCCATCTTTTTTCTCCAAAAAATTTCCGTTCAAAATTGCGCAAACAGCCTCTTCATTTTTGACTTTGAATATTCTTGGAGGGCCCAAAAACACGCCCGACAAGATCTCCGTGGATGGTTATCGCTGCCGCCCTCCGGGCATCTTTTTGTTTTTGTAAATCCGCCGCCGAACAAATGGGATTTTCAAAAAGGGGGATTTCTGGGGCTAATGAAAAGAAGTTGCAACGAGTAATCCCGTTAGGAAGAGGGGAGGCTGTTTGCTTTTAATTACACGTCTTGTCTAGCCAGTTTTTTTGTATTTTTATTTTTTCGCACTGTGCAATCTTTTCCAAAAAAATTAGTTTTTTCGCACAGTGCAAGAAAAATATTTTTGCACTGTGCAATCAAAACTCGTTTGCACCTTGCAAAAGCCGCGACAAAAGGAATTTCTGCGACTTTGCACCGTGCATCCGGCTCAAAAGTTTTTTGCACAGTGCAAAAAAAAAGATTCTGCACGGTGCAAAAGCCGCGACAAATTTTTGATTCTTGTCGCAGCAAAAGAAATTTTCTGCGACTTTGCACCGTGCATCCGGCCCAAAAAGATTTTGCACTGTGCAGCAAAACTCGTTTGCACGGTGCAAAAGCCGCGACAAATTTTTGATTTTTGTCGCAGCAAAGAAATTTTCTGCGACTTTGCACCGTGCATCCGGCCCAAAAGTTTTTTGCACAGTGCAAGAAAAAGATTTGCACCGTGCAAAAGCCGCGACAAGTTTTTGATTTTTCAAGTCGCGGCAAAAAGTGCAAAGAATTTTCTGCGACCCTGCACTGTGCATGAGCTCGAAAAAACATTTTGCACTGTGCATCCGGCCCAAAAGTGCGTTTGCACAGTGCAATTTTGTTTTTTTTTTTGCATCGCGCGCGATTTCCATTTTTCGCAGCGACAAATCAATTTTTCGGAATTTGGGGGCCGTGAAAAATTTCCAAGGACTTTTTGTCGCGACTACCGCACAGTGCGAATTTAAAAAAATGCTTTTTCTGTTTGCATTGTGCAGTCCAAATTTTCCACTATTTTTTGGGTTGCACGGTGCGGCGTATAAAATTTTTAATTACTGTAGTTTAAACCGAATCAATAGTCAAAAATCGTAGTTGCCATTGAAAAATAAGCTGCGTGTGTCCTACTTCAACATCCAAAAAAAATTTGACACATTTTTCAAATAGACTACCATTAAAATTGGTTCCAGGTCTCGTCACAAAAACCTGAATGTAATATAGTCATTGTCAATCCCGCCGAATGTCTTGAAACACCATCCTATCCGACTTCCAATCTTTTGTATTCAATTGTTTCCCGAGAATATCCGGGAAATCCTTTATTAGACTTGCTACTACAATATAAAACAATATAAAAGGGTTTCGAATCGGATCTTGTTTTGTAATTATTAGAACAAGATTTATTGTCTGTTCAATTCTTGAGCTTCATCCGGAATTTTGTGCAAAAAAAATTTCCAATCCAAAAAAAAATTTTTAAATTTTTATTGTAGTCTACTTTTTTGATGAAAAAATATTTATTTCTTTGAATCTCAAATAGTCGAAAACCAATTATTTTCCACTTTACTCATCGATTTTTGCCCATTAATCAAGTTTAATTCCAGTTTTTTTATTCGCCGCACTGTGCAAGCCTAAAAATAAAGCGAAATTCCCACTGCACAGTGCAAATTAGAAATAAAAAATTTTACAAACCGCACCGTGCGGTAAGCAGGGGTGGTCGGCGCCCCGGCCCAAACGGGCCGGCCGGCCTCAAAAATGGAAATTGACAAACGGGCCGGGCCCGTCACGGGCCGGGCCGGGCCGCGGGCCTGGGGTTTTTCCGGCCCGGCCCGGCCCGTCTAAAATACAATGTCAAACCGTTGGCATTCATTGTTTTCGCGCCGGGAAAATTAATTGATGTTGTTATAGTTGCTGTTTCTCAAGTTCTAACACGTTTACAAGTCTATAGTTCCATTATAGAACCACAAAACTATCACATTGATCCTTTACTAGCTAGATCAACGCCTTTTTTGCCTCAGTTTAGATCCCGAGCCTGGGCGCAGTTCGCAGAACCCTCTATAGACGGGCCTGCACGGGCCGGGCCGGGCCTGGAAAAAGACTAGACGGGCCGGGCCGGGCCGGTGATTAGACGGGCCGGGCCGCGGGCCGAAAATCGGAAAAATAGGGTCTGCTGACCACCCCTGGCGGTAAGAGCGCAAAAGTTTGTCGCAACTTTTGCACAGTGCAAAGAAATATTCTTTGCCCGCACAGTGCAAGCCTAAAAATAAAAGGAAATTCCCATTGCACAGTGCAAATGGAAATGAAATATTTTTTCAATCACACTGTGCGGTGAAAACGCGAAAGTTTGTCGCAACTTTTGCACTGTGCAAAGAAATATTGTTTTGTCCGCACAGTGCAGGAATTTTTTTGCACAGTGCAAACAGGAAATAAAAAATTTTTTAAACCGCACCGTGCGATGAAAACGCGAAAGTTTGTCGCAACTTTTGCACAGTGCAAAAAAATATTTTTTGCCTGCACAGTGCACAAAATTAAAATTGAAAAATTGCACAGTGCGTGTTCGGAAAAAAATTCGAAAAGCAGACTTGACAATAAAAATAACGCCTAGAATGGCTCTCTGATCAAATCTCATCGCGTTCAATTGCTCACTAATTTCTGGATTTTTGCAATTTCACGTTTTTCCCGTGGCGAGGGAACTTCTCGCGCGCCTTTTTACACTTCTCATCATATACTTTTCGGTCATTTATTGATCTCCATTTCAATTGCTGGCTCCTTTCAGCCCAATTCTTCTTTTTTGAGCCATTTTTATCACTGTAATCGCAATTTTTTCCCTTTTAAAAAAAAAAAAAATTTTGTCAAAAAATCTGCAACACTTTGCAATTTCCGAAAAATTGGGGTACTTTTTGGCCTAAAAAAAGAAAAAAATCAAACTTAAATTAAATTTTTTTTGCTCGGATTGCCATTAAATTTTGGTAAAAAGAATATTAGACCCTTGTAAGAAAATCTGAAAAATTTCAGACCGCGTTATGCAGAATGCTTCGAGATATAGCCATTTTAAAATCAAAAAATCACTTTTTTTGTTATTTTTTTGTAAAAAATGTCAAATTTTGTTAAAATTTCTTACTAAATTTTGTGAATGTCATAATTACCATACTTTTTATTAAATTTAGATTACATTTCCCAAATCAAAAAAGCATTTTTCCGTTGCAAAAAATCCCAAAAATCCCCGGGATGCCATCTTTCCCCAATTTTTATTCAAATTCTTCCCACCGATCAAGTTATTTTTTTGTCGATAGAACTCATCAAAAAAACATCCCCCCTCAGCTTCTTCACGGGTTTCCGGAACTCGCCCTGAGGCGCTTTTGACCTCATTCCGCGACTTTCCCCTTCGATTTCATTTCGAGTCTCGGGCGTTTTGAATATTCGAAATTTGATTCCCTTCTTCAGACATGGATTCTACAGTATCCGAGCGATGTTTGTACGGCCGGTTACACATCAGGGTGAGTGCACAGTGCAGTGAAATGAGTTTAGAGAAAAAGCGAATGTACGGTGCGGACGAGGAAGAAATTGCACAGTGCGATTTTTAAAAAGTCAACGCACAGTGCAAAAAAATATAAAAAAATGTTTTGCACAGTGCAAAAAAATCGTTTCAAAATTTGCGATTTGCACTGTGCAAGAGGAAAGAAAGGATTTTCGCACGGTGCAAAAGGTTTGTCGCGAGGTTCGTACAGTGCAAATGGTCTGTCGCAAAATCCGCACAGTGCAAAAAAGGTTGCAACGGATTATTCGAAACTCAGACTGCACTGTGCGGTCGAACGAAAAAAATAAAATTTTATTTTGCACCGTGCAGATTGATGCTTTTCCGAAATCGCACAGTGCAAAAGAAAAGTCACCGCACTGTGCAATTTGTCGCGGGTTGTTTTGAATTCTGACCGCACAGTGCAATCAACTGGGAAGGAAAAACACCTCAAAACTTTCGAAATTTTGCACCGTGCAAATTGATTCCTTCCCGAAATTGCACAGTGCAAAATTTTGCCGCACGGTGCAAAAATCGCGGTTCAAAATTCAAAAAAACTTTTGCACGGTGCAAATTGATTCTTTTCCGAATTCGCACAGTGCAAAAAAATCATCGCACTGTGCAATTTGTCGCGGGTTGTGTTAAATTCTGACCGCACAGTGCAATCAACTGGGAAGAAGGGAGATCAGCACGGTGCAAAACTTGCGACATTTTGCACCGTGCAATTTTTGTCGCCAATGTCTTTGTCGCACGGTGCAAAAGTTTTTTTGGATTCACGACAAATCAAAATCCTCTTATTTTTGCACAGTGCAAAAAAATTGTTGGATCAATTTTCGCACTGTGCAGGGATAAAATTTCAATCGCACAGTGCACTCAAAATTCTTGCACTGTGCAAAAAATTAAATTTGTCAAAAAATGTAAAATACGACTGACATGTTCGATTTTCAGAGTGGAATCAAGCTGATTATCGCGGTTGGAGTTGTTGTTCTGATCGCGCTCACCGCATTGTTGGCGATTTACTTCCGAAAAGCGATTTTCGTCTTGAGCATTTCGTACATTGTGACGATTTTGACGGCGGGCGCGGTTTTCCGCCGCGATCACCGGTTTATGTACCCTTTATTGGGGGTGTCGGTAAGTTGAATTTGCAAACACTCAAATAAAAAAAAATTCAATTTCAGTACTTCCACATCTTCCTAGCATCACATTTACTGTTAATTTTTGCGTTTTACTTCTTCTTCAAGCCCTTGTACATTCTTATGGTGTTCAACTGGGCGTTTGACAGTGAGTTTTCCGCGATTTTTGGAGAAGTAAAAGACTTGACTCAAAGTCAAGTGTTCCTCTCGGTTAAAATATGCGATTTTGACGGGTTTATCGATAAAGTTGAGGTCTAATATTACTTTTATGACCCTGAAATACCATGTAGTTATATCTACATAGCTTTTTTAGCCAGCAATTTGGTTAAATTCCACTGAGAGCAACACTTGACCAAATGGGTCAAGTCTTTCTTTCTCTCGCAAAATCGTTCATTTGAGCCAATAAAACCTCCAATTTCAGCTCTCGACACCGGCAAGAACCTCGGCTACTACGTGAAATGTTTTGTCCTGGTCCTCGGCATCTCCCTGTTCCTGGCTTACAACGTTTGGCAAGCCGCGATGGCCAAGCATTTCCTCGACCATTTGCAACAAAACGACCTCCGACTGGACTCGGTGATCAAGGTGAACGGCTCGACCTCATCATCCGTCGCCCTGAACTACAGTCATTCCGAGTCGCCAAAGCCCGAGAAACGGAACACGATTGTTTTCGTGGGAGGACCCGAACTTCAGCCAATGAGCACCGAGAAAACGGAAAATGGATTCTGAAACGGAGATGTTGCGCAAAAAGAGGACTCGTCTTGCCGAGACCCACCGATTTCCTTCCAATTTACACAACTTTAAGTCGTATTTTAGCCTTTTAATCGAAATTTTTTGGAATTGAAAAAAATCAAAAAAAAAAAAAATTTTTTTCGAAAAATTTAAAAATTCCATGAAATCTTGAGGTGAAAACGGGTTTGATTTCCATATCAACAACAAAACAAAGCCTTTCACGTTAATTATCGTCCATAATTAATTGTATTTGCACTTTGTTCCGCGATTTTATAACTGCTTTTTAATGAATTTACTGTTATGCATGCTATAGTACATATCAATAAAATGGTATACGTTTTATTTTGGAAGTTGTTTTCTTACTTTACGCTGATTCTGGAGCCAATGGATGAGAGGGGAAGACTTGACCCATCTTAAAGAGTGGCGTTTTAAAAGGTCAATAAATATATAAAAAAGAGCTGTTATTTATGCTCTAATCAGCTAATGGGGGTTACGGTAGTCCGTGTTAATATTGGCAGGTTGATCGCCCAACATCAAGCTCACCAGCTAGGTCATGATCAAGGTCAAGGTGAATGTCAAAAATATTCTCAAAATGGCCAAAATAAAGGACTAGTCGACGAGAGCCACATTGGTTGGCTTGTTCGTGACCTAGTTCGTGAGCTGGTTCAGGTATGTCCTGTCAAAAATTTTAAAGTCCGTCAATATGAAAAAATATATGTAAATCCATGATAAAATCCATGTTTATCGAAAAAACAAGCTAGTTCATGACCAATGTCATGATCTAGATCCCAATTAATGTCAAGAATCCAACAGTTTTGTCCATAACATTGATCGGGCAATAAAATACGCTTGATCTTGCACACAATGCAACACTTGACCCAAAACCCCTAAATGTGTCAAGTTTCCCTCTTTCTCGAGAAATTATTTTCCTTTTGACCGAAAACTTCTTGTCGCTGAGGGTAGCTGTTCGAGAAGAACTAGAATGCCGGCGATACCAAGAGTCGACCGTCTGAAGAACCTTTACACAGCTGCCAAAGCCTTGAATTTTGGTTTTAGACTTGAAGGTAAGTATTCCCATTTCTTTTCTTCATTTTCAATATTTAGGCTTTCCATCGGTTCCTCAACACAGTGGTTGGGCTAGACGAGCTATTCCCCAACTGCATCGATTGACGATCAACTTTGATCTGAAGAATGAAGCTTCCGTCGGAACTCGGCAGTTTATTGAAGTGGAGTTGGGAAACTTCGCCCGCGCGAATCCCTCTGTGGCCATTTATGTGATTCCAAGGCGACAAACAGTGCCAACAGTTCGTGGAGAGTATGCCAATGGCCGGACAGTGCATTTGAACTTGAAAGGAATGATGTGGGTTGACTTTTTTTTATTGTTCTCTTGATTTTAGGTGATGATGAAGAAAAATATGTGTTGAAGGTTGAATTTCGATTATTTTGATGCCATTTTTTGCAGAAATCTGTAGAAAGGGTACGAATGCAATTAGCGGTGTTTTTGAGGCAATCGTTTCCGCGAATTCTGATATCTCTCAATTTTTCGGATGTTGTCCATTATGAAATTCCAGAGGATCAAAAGTTGCTAAAAACGAAATTCTTTTGACTTATCCGAGCTTAAATCAGTTTCAGAAGACCATAAATGCCATTTTGGATATAAATTTTCTCATTTCCAGGCTGAACGAAGTCTCCCGTCACATGAATGATCTCCGTTGCCGCTCTGGTGAGCCAATTGTGAAGCTGAAATCGCTTCAAACCGCTCAGATCAAGTCAGTTCAAGGAGAATGGAGTCCACTGGACAAACTAGATGTTACACAGAACATTTATCATGGAAATCTGCCACAGCCGCAGTTCAACGAGCCGCTGACGACGGAGATTTCGGCAACCGAATATGTGATGAGGAATAGTGTGGAGAGTAATTGAAAAAATGAAAAAATTGTTTGGTTTTTGACTAGGATTGACTTGTTTTTTGTTGATAAATTTTTTTGGTTCTTCATCCCACATTTTTTTGAGTGTTTTCATCGGTTTTATTTGGTATAATCTTATCCACTTACATTCTTCTTTGACAACTGATAAGACAAACAATTTTTGTTAGGAGATTAAAAGTTTTCGAGGGTTATAGAGAAAGAGTGAGTACAATGTATGACTGTTCCGAGGGGGGCGACAAAAGGAGCGTGTGAGGCGAGCCACTGCTGGGATTTTTTATATTATCCATGATGACGAATATCAAAAAAAAAACACTTGAAATTGTTCATTTGAGACAAAATAGGGGGAGAAATGCACTATACTACATAACCATGGTCCCATTGGGATGCTGTGGGTTCACTCGCCCGCGCGTTTCTTTATTGATTCAAATAATTCCATTGAGATTGAGCAAGTGGAATGGACTCGGCGCTTTCTTGATTCCAGTATGGGTTCTGCTGTTGGATGGGGGGTATTTGGTTCAGCCAGGGGTCCACCGTCAGGGGGGCGGGGTTCGTCGCGTTCTGGCTGAGCGACATTTGAGCCAGTTGGGGTTGGTAGTTGCTCATCGAGGCGGCGGGCATCGGTTCGCCGGGCTGAAATCATTCGAAATTAAAATCCAAATCGTCTTTTCAGGGCTTTCTCTACAATATTATAGCCATCCAAGGTGTGGAAGACTTCAATTTCCCCTATATTATACATGATTTTAGTGTCTACTACAATATAATTTTAGCTCCTCCTAAAGGCGAAGATACTTCTAACTCGCATTCCACTAGTCTTATTGAGCCTTTATCGTCCTAAAACCACCATAACTTCTCCACTCCACTCATTTACCTTCAAGATATCCCCTATATTATTCATGACCTTCTGACCAAAAATTTTGATTTTTATACTTCAAACCACTGCCAAATTAAATCAAAAATTATCTTTTCATACTCTACAACCTCTTAATTCACCAATAAAATCGCAATCCCATCACTTTTTACATTATTCTTGACCACTATTACCTAAAATATTAGGTTGGCAACTAAGTTATTGAAATTTTTGACTGCTTTTGTTTTTGCCACAACCTTTAAAGGCTGGACAGTCAACAACTATAATACCCTCAATTCAAGGTAATACACCTACACGCGAGCTGCGAGTTCGATGCCTCTGGGTTTGATAGTACTCTAACCCTACTACAGGTGGGATAGTGTGATACTAGCCATACTGACTTAAGAAGGTCTGTGGAATAATGCAAAAAAAATTTCAATAACTTAGTTGCCAACCTAATAATATCCAAATTTGCCCATAACTCCCTTCAATCGCAATCATTGACCCTCTAACTTCCCAAAATCAAATTTCAAGCCTTTTAAACCCCTTACCGATTGATTTTGATTCCACTGAGTGCCTTCAAATCCCGCTGGCTGAATCGGATTATTCTGATGTATAATCAGGTCGGGGAGTTGTTGATTTGCTGCAATCTCCTCGGCCGCAGGGTCTATTAGTCTGGCTGTTGCTACTACATACTCAAACTGTTCCGAATAGGGGTTTAGGAACTTGAACGCGTCCACCGTGCACTGGCTGTAAACGCCGTTCGGTCGGGCGAAGCGATAGGTCAATTGGAAGGGCTGGTTGTTCTGCATGAGTTGTGTAAATGCATCTCTGACTGTCTGTTCGTCTGCTGGATGGATGCCTTGCCAGCAATAGCGTCCGTTCAGCTCGTCCGCGCGCACATCGAGGATATGGTAGACTCGTTGGTCGACGAAAGTGATCTTTCCCTCTTCATTCCAGCGCATGCAAAACTGTTCCCCATCGATTCCGTCGGGCTTCACGGTGGGCATGGAGGCGACTTGGAGACGGGCGACACCCACTAAACAGCTGGCGTTCGTTTGTTCCACGCCTTGCGGTGGGGTTTGTTTCACGTAGCCGGTACAGTGCATCACAACGTAGGTTTGGCCGTTGTGGGTGAAGAGAGGGCGGCGGTTTCGTAGCCTGTGCAAGGGCTCAATGTTTCCTGCAAAAATTTTCCTTAATTTTGAGGATTAATTTTGATTTTCAAAACTTCGAAAGCCTCAAAAATACAGTGGGGGACCTGATCCAGTGACAAAAAACGTACCATTTTGCATCCGGGAAGCATCAAAAATGTGGCAAAATGCTTCCCTCTCCAAGTGAAAAAAGAAAAAAATCCGATTTCAAAAGCCGCTCTTTTTGTGAGGAAAAGGGCGCGCTCTTCAAAACCAAGTTTTTTCTCTTGTAAAGGGAAGCGTTTTGCCACATTTTTGATACTTCCTGGATACAAAACGGTACGTTTTTTGCCACTAGATCAGGTCCGTCACTGTACCAAAAAATCAAGTGGAAAAAATTCCAAATCAATTTTCCGAGATCCAGTAAGGCCTCTTCTAACTATCAAACATCATTTCCTCTTCATTTTCTACCTAAATTTCAAAAAAAAAACAAAAAATCTCCTTACCCAATCTCATTCTGCAGATGAATCCCCTCCGGCATCCCATATGAATTGGTGGGCCAACGCGCTGCTCCTTCTTCGCCGAGCCTGATTTCAAGTCCAAAGTGCGGTTGAGGTTGGCTTCGGAGGCGCAGAGCTGATCCCGGACCTTATCCATGTCGTCCGGATGCACAAGATCGTAAATGGAATGGCCCAGCCACTCTTCCTGGCGAAGATTCAGCACGGGTAAGATGCTATCGGCCACGTAGAGGACGCGGCCACTGTCGCAGGCGGCCACGAACAAAAATCCATTCGCCGCTTCGAGGATCATGTGTTTTAGCTCTTGGTCGGTGAGAAAAGTGGGTTTGTAGCTGTTGACGTTGGCCAAGGCCGGATCAGTGGGTGTCGATATTTCACGGATCTGCTTCATGTGTGTGACGGCCATTCGGAGGATGGTGAGTTTGTCCGGTTTCCGACCTGAAGCTGTATTGATGGAAATGTGTAATATAACGGTGGAAACAGTCAGTATCGGGCTAATTTGTACTCGATTAGCAGGTCAGTACCACAGAGCATAGACATAAAAAATATCAGGCCGCTATCCCTAACCAATTTCTTGTCAGATCCAAAACTTATCAGACCTTATTTTAGATACCGAAAAAAGAACAAGGCAGGAATAACGTCTAAAAACTTTTTAAAACGTTCCTCAGTCCCTCTAAAACATCACCAAAAAATTCCACTCCACTAAGGGCATCCTTCACCCAGCTACGGCCTATATTATCCATGACCAAAGTTGTTGCCTAAAAATTTGAAAACAATAGAAAAAAAGGAAATCTCACCCAAAGCAGCACATTGAGGGACCATCTCAGCCAATTCGTTGATGTAGTGTGTCATTTTGTTCCTCCTTCGCCTCTCAATTTCACTGTGGTTTTCTCGCGCGAACCTTTCCTTCTGGTTGTTCCCAGACCCTCCCTGGCCTTGCATTTGATGCGAGGATTGAGGGATTTGCTGTAACGAAGATCCGGGCATATCACTGAGGGATCCCTGGTTTCCCTGGGGCATCATTTGAGCGGGCAAACCGCCACCATCATAAAGGTAGTCGTTCATCGGAAAGACCGGGAAATTGTAGCCACACTTTCAACGGATTTGATGGGGAAGCCCTTAAAATAGAAAATTCATGACCTCTTCTAACTATACTAACTTAAAAATCAAACAAAATTTCGCGAAAACAGGTAAAAAAATGCAAATTATATTATTCATGGCATCAAAAGTAAAAAAATTGAAGAAAGCCTCAAAATTCCGGGAAAAACACTCAAAATTTACAACGAAAGAAAACCAATAGGTCCGACAATCCGAGTCACAACCCCCATTCCTATGCAAACACACAATTCCCCATCAAAAAAAGGGCCGGGGGAAAATCTGAAAAGAAGAGCCCACGGAACGTCCCAAGAATTTCATTTCTCGCCGCGTATAAGCACCCGACGAGAGCCGTAGTTAATTTAGCATTCCACTTTATTGTCCTCAAACCATTCGCACTCCGGTTTTCAGCGGAATTAATTTGGAAATCGGGACGGGAATTTCGACAACAAATCCGTATGGATAATGTCGAGGAATTAGTCGAAAGACAAAAAACCAGGAGGAAGTTTATAAAGTTCAAGTGCGTTATGAACAGAAACAGACAAACAACAGAGATTTTGGCCAAAAAATGCAAAAAAAAATTCATCAAAGACCTCATGGATAATATAGCCAGAATCTAAAAAAATACCCGTCCGTTTTGCTTGAAATTTTTTGGAGAGCAAGAATCTTTCATCGAAATACTATTTAAAACAAAATATCGCAAAAAATAAGAAAAAATTATCGAAAATCGATCAAAATTGCCATGGATAAGATAATAAAAAAACTCCCCCCAAATCCCTCCAAACCCTTTTATAACCCTCTCAATATTCTCTAAATACGTCATAGAGTGTAATCGAAAAAAGATTTTCGATAAAAATGTAAAAATCTCCAAAAATTTATCTTCACCATGAAGAACCAAACCTGAACTCCCCCCAAAACAAGCTCAAAACACGGTCGGAAAGTAACTTGTGGTCCCGTGAAGGAGAGTCAATTAATCGATCGCAAAACTATGTCTAGAAGTGGGGGGAAAAGCCGGCTGCTAACGTGAAAAAAGCGAACTTTTCGTTTCTTCGAGGGGAAATCAGATAAGTTTCGTTGAATTTGATCGCTTAATTGATGCCGAAGACAGCTAGCGGGTTGATAAGGAGTGATTTATCGCAAGAAAAGGCCTATACCGGGAGTTTACACCTTTCTGCGACAGACTTTCGACTTTACAACGAAAAAAAGAAAAAAGTTGGCGATATCCAGAAAATCCGTCAGGATGACGGTCATAATGACGGACGTCAAAATAGAGCTACCGGCTTGAAATTTTGCATGGGTGTTAGAAATGATAATCAAATATGATATATTTTTTTATCAATCTAAATTTCACCCCTAAGGGCGTTTTCCAAAATATCCGTCATCATGACGTTAATTTTTGTGAAATTAATAAAAACCTTAAAATAACGGAAAATTGAGGGAAAATCAAAGCTGAATAGCGCAAAATGAATGATCGAGGTTGCAACAGATGTTTCTAGCGGCGTTTTTAATCGCAAAAACCTACTCATTGTGCGGCGTTGATGAGTGCGTATGAAAATCACGGGTTCATTAGAAGCGAAAAGACGAAGGAAGCGGAGAAAGTGATCGAGCCCGAGGAGTCCGCGATATTACAGCGATTCGAAGGGCATTCGACAAAATAAAGGGATTTTTTTTGCTTGAAAACACAAATTTGTTATGGATAATATGGAGATATAGGGAGAAAGGATGTATTTTCCCTTTGATAAAGGCTTTTTTGAGCCTTTAAAGACCTTAGTAATAGTTTTTGAGTGGTTTCTCAGCTCCCCAGACACCTAAAACACAATGCCAAAATTGGCGGGAAATTTGAATTTTTGGAATTTTTCACTCTAATTCTCGCTAAAATACGGTTGAATAAAGCGCGTAGACAACGGAACGTCCATTTCTTCCACACAGCTTCCGGGAAATTATGCAAATTTTCCAATAAAACCCCGAGAAAGGACATAAAATAAAGTCATGGTTATTACGAATGGGCCGGTGTCGAATGACCTTTCGCATAGCAAATTTGGGTCCAATTTCCCTCGGCCATATTTCGCTGCCCAAGACGGGTGCGGAATTAATTTTCGGGAACAAATTTGGGAATGACATTCCATTCGGTGGAGATCTTTGAAAACGCAGTTATAAAGTAAAAAGTAGTGAGTGAAAAACAAAGCAGAGGTTGTTTCTAGAACGTAAAATGAATTTGTAATCTAGAAACACCAGAATTACCAAAAAAAAATTCTGAAATTTGCAAAAAATTGAAAAATTTCGTCATGGATAATATAAAAAGTAGCTAGAAATGGACCTCAAAACAAATTTTCATGCTGTATTTGAGCTTAAAATGCATAATCCACATCAAAAATTACCAATTTAGCCTAAAGATTGATCAAAAATGATCAAAAATTAGTCATGGATAATATAAAAAGTAGCTTGAAATGGATCGCAAAACAAATTTTCATGCTGTATTTGAGCTTAAAACATATAATTCACAGTTAAAATTACCAATTCAGCCTAAAAATTGGTCAAAATTGATCAAAAATTAGCCATGGATAATATAAAAAGTAGCTGGAAATGGATCCCAAAACAAATTTTTATACTGTATATGAGCTTAAAATGTATAATCCACATCAAAAATTACCAATTCAGCCTAAAGACTGGTCAAAATTGATCAAAAATTTGTCATGGATAATATAAAAAGTAGCTAGAAATGGATCCCAAAACAAATTTTCATGCTGTATTTGATTTTAAAATGTATAATCCACATCAAAAATTACCAATTCAGCCAAAAGACAGGTCAAAATTTATCAAAAGTTTGTCATGGATAATATAAAAAGTAGCTAGAAATGGATCCCAAAACAAATTTTCATGCTGTATTTGAGCTTAAAATGCATAATCCACATCAAAAATTACCAATTTAGCCTAAAGATTGATCAAAAATGATCAAAAATTAGTCATGGATAATATAAAAAGTAGCTTGAAATGGATCGCAAAACAAATTTTCATGCTGTATTTGAGGTTAAAACATATAATTCACAGTTAAAATTACCAATTCAGCCTAAAAATTGGTCAAAATTGATCAAAAATTAGCCATGGATAATATAAAAAGTAGCTAGAAATGGATCCCAAAACAAATTTTTATACTGTATATGAGCTTAAAATGTATAATCCACATCAAAAATTACCAATTCAGCCTAAAGACTGGTCAAAATTGATCAAAAATTTGTCATGGATAATATAAAAAGTAGCTGGAAATGGATCCCAAAACAAATTTTCATGCTGTATTTGATTTTAAAATGTATAATCCACATCAAAAATTACCAATTCAGCCAAAAGACAGGTCAAAATTTATCAAAAGTTTGTCATGGATAATATAAAAAGTAGCTAGAAATGGATCCCAAAACAAATTTTCAAGCTGTATTTGATCTTAAAATGTATAATCCACATCAAAAATTACCAATTCAGCCAAAAGACTGGTCAAAATTGATCAAAAATTTGTCATGGATACTGTAATATGTATAAAAAACTCATTGTTTTCATCCCCAAACCCTCTAATTCCGCCGAGGTCGACCGAAAACACCCTCGTGGGCCATGCGAGGAATCGATAAGGAGCTTTGGAGAGGGGACTTTCTCATCAGATTGCTACGTCTGAAGATTACAGCTTAGAGAGAAGGGTGAATATCCGGTTTAATATGCCGAAAATCCCTTCTCGCGGATTCTCTATGGGATGAGAAGACCACACTGGACTTTTGTCTCTAGCCGAAGTAAAAGGGCAGGTCGGAGATTGGCCAAAAATTTCATTTCGATAACGATCCGGCGCTACGAGTTTTTCAGCGACGGCTTACAATAAAAAATTACTCCATGTGCGACGCTCAGATTTTGATGAAACTTGGCACAGATTTAGAGTATTTTTTTCTAAAATATATGCGAGAATTCTCACTCGCGCTTTGCAGAAACAACCGAGATTTTTAGATCGAAAGTCGGCCAAAATTTAAGACTTTTTGCCGAATTTCAACACGAAAAGTTTCATGCCTATTTCTACCGTAAAGGGTAATGTCTCCACAAAAAATCAATTTTTTCCGCACGAAACTAGCAAAGTTATGGCAAAAAAGTGTTTTTCTTTCTGACCGCTCTCCACGTTTACCGTGCTCTCTCGGCGGAAAAGATCATTCAATATCTCAGCGACGCTTGCCAAGTGCGAGCTAAAACTTTCAGGAATTGATGTTTAGTCCATACCCGACGTGTGTGCAAAATTTAAAGAAAATCTGACCATCGCACTTGGGGTACTTCCCTTGTTTTTCAGTAGAAATAATAAGATTGAGAGGGTCCTAGAGTAGCCTATCACCGATTTTGAGGTATTTTACATGTACTCTCATCAATAATATCTGGATAAAAGTTACGGATCTTCGTTTTTTCCCCACAAATTTCGGTTTTTTTTTATGTCACAATACCTAAAGAGAACGGGGTAAAGAAAACTAACGTTAGAAATAGCTAACAGGGGAAGTACTCAGTACTCAGATTTTCTTTAAATTTTGCACACACGTCGGGTATGGACTAAATATCAATTCCTGAAAGTTTTAGCTCGCGCTTTGCGGGCGCCGCCGAGATATTGAACGATATCTGCCGCCGAGAGAGCACGCTAAACGTGGAGAGCGGTCAGAGAGAAAAAACACTTTTTGGCCATAACTTCGCTAGTTTCGTGCGGAAAAATTTGATTTTTTGTAGAAACATTATCCTTTACGGTATAAATAGGTATGAAACTTTTCGTGCCGAAATTTGGCAAAAAATTGTAAATTTTCGCCGACTTTCGATCTAAAAATCTCGGTTGTTCCTGTAAAGCGCGAGCTAGGATTCTCGCAGATTTTTTAGAAAAAAAATATTCTAAATTTGTGCCAAGTTTTATCAAAATCTGAGCGTCGCACTTGGGGTACTTCTCTTGTAAAATTAGAAGAAATAGACATATTTCAAGTCTTCGCCAAGCTCCGCCAAGCCTTCGCCGAGCCTCCGCCAATCATCCTACGGCCTTGCCAGGCCTCGTAGACACTTCCTACAACTTTTTTTTGACTATTTACCTGCCCTACCCCTCGTATCGATCGATTTTATAATGCCCCGAACTGCCATTAACCCGAAAAGTTTGGACGCTTACGATTTTAGCAAAAAATCTCGTTTTGAGCGCAAAAATTAATCGATTTCCTTTTGAAAATCAAAGCGAATTCTCGGTCCGATCTGAAAACACACGTGGAAAGTGCAAAACGGAGGGAGATATTTGCGGAGGGAGCGCCTCGGGTCAGAGGTCCCCCTTCTTGGTATAAAGGAGGGGATCGGAGGAGAGAATCAAATTCGCGGTGCGTTGCGCAATCGAAAGAACGCGAAAAATAAAAAATATGGCCGGCGGGCTCTAATGAACGAATTTCAAAATCGCACAGTGCAAAAAAAAAATTTCAAAATCGCACCGTGCGAAAAAATTTTGAAATTGCACAGTGCAAAAATTTTTTAAATTGCACAGTGCGAAAATTTTTTTATTTGCACAGCGCAAAAATTTTTTTAATCGCACAGTGCAAAAATTTTTTAAATTGCACAGTGCGAAAATTTTTTTAAATTGCACAGTGCAAAAATTTTTTTATTTGCACAGTGCAAAAATTTTTTAAATTGCACAGTGCAAAAATTTTTTTAATCGCACAGTGCGAGAACATTTTTGATTGCACTGTGCGATGAAGAAATGAATCGCACGGTGCGATTGGTTATTCATCGCAAAAAAAAATCGTAAACTAGAGACTGCACAGTGCAAAGAAAACCAAATCTTTGAATGCACGGTGCGATTGGAAATCTCATCGCACGGTGCAAGAAAAATGTTGGAAAATTTGAGATTGCACAGTGCAAAGGTTTTGCCGCACAGTGCAAACCCAATTTGTGAATGCACGGTGCAATCAGAACATTTTTGATTGCACCGTGCGATGGAGAAATCAATTGCACCGTGCGATCATCGCAAAAAAAATGGAAAGGATTGAGATTGCACAGTGCACTTTTCCACTTTTTTGCACTGTGCAATGTCTGTCGCGAGAGCAAAGCTCGCGCGACACAAGTTGAAAAACCTTGCGCCGCGGCGATTTCCCAATTGCACGGTGCAAAAGGTCAACTGCACAGTGCGGAAAGCTTGCGAGAAAAACACTTTTGAAACGTCGTAGTTGGGACTGCACAGTGCAAAACATTATTTTTTATGTCGCACAGTGCAAAGAAAAAACCTAATTTTTGAATGCACGGTGCAAAAAATTTTCCGAAAATTTGAGACTGCACTGTGCAATGTTTTTTATTATATTTTTGCACAGTGCAGTAAAAAAAATAAAATTAGAGTTCCTCGCACAGTGCAATACAAATAATTTTGATTTGAAAAATCTCTCCGAAAATCCAGAAACGGCCCAATTTTTCCAAATTCCCCTCCGGGCAGACTCCATTTATTTCCATGGAAACCAATTATTACAACCAAAATTTCTGGACGTAGGGTAAAATTTTATAATGAAATTAATTAATTTTTTTTGTAGGATAAAAAATTTTCCAGAGTTCAAAAAATAAGATTTTTTGGAATTAAATCGCTTTTATTTCGGTTATTTCTGCATTATTTGGTGTGAAATTTATAGGGAATCTTTTAAATAACCTAAAATTTTAATTTGAAAAATTTTGAATCGATTGGAAATACGAGATTTTTTAAATAAAAATCTCCGATATTTCAGTCATTTTTGCAAATTTTGATCCAAAATTTTCAGAGATGAACCCAAATTCTATACTCTTTCTGAAAATTTAAAAAATTTTTGCAAATTCAAAAAAAAAATTTCATAAAATTTTAATATTCAAAATTTTGAAAATTCCAAATTTGACAAAATTTTTCTGTAAATCCCCTCTTACACTTCACCTCTGTCAATAAAAGACCGTTTTCCCAAAAAAAATTTGCGTCCATCAATGACTTGAATGCCAATGAAAATTCCACAAAGAAATGCAAATTTCCCGGGCCAACAACTGAAGATATTCACTCGTTCTTGCACTCAAACTCCTCAAAATTAAATTCACAGCACAGTTCGCAATCTAATTAGCCGTTTATTTATACCGACTCGAAACGGGCCCGCTAATTGGAGGAGAATTTGCAGGTGGGAAGTAAAACATTGTCATGGCTAATATAATAAAGTGTCCGAAAATGCAATCAGCGTTCTTATGGAGCCTTCTGGATTCAATTTAGAGGTCAATTCTGAGATTTTAGCAGCTCTGAAGCTGTTTGGAGACTTGAGACAGAATGCCAAAAATGGCGGCAAATTCAAACTTTTTGCACTTTTATGAACAAAAATACCGTTGAAATTGGATTTCTGTGGTCTCGGGAAGCGTTAGAAAATTATTTTTAGCGTTTTTACACCGTTATAGCCACTTGCAACAGAATGCCAAAAATGGCGGGAAATTTAAGTTTTTGAATTTTAATGAGCAAAATGACGGCAGATAGCTAAAATTGGATTGTTGTGGCCTCTAAAACCGTTATAAAAATATTTAAAATAGTTTTTACAACGTTTTCACCACTTGTAACGGAATGCCAAAAATGGCGAAAATTTGAATTTATGAATGCCAAAAACCCTTAATTGACAAAGCCTGGCATTTTTAGCTGATTGGTGCCGTAAAAATCGTTGAATCAACATAACACAACTCGTTTGATATAACGAAACGGCATTACATCGCTATAAGCGTTAGATGAAATCATCATTCTCTACCTCGTGTTTGATTTATTACCCCAAAAGTTGTAAAAATCATAGCGAAAGGGGAGACTTGATTGAAAACATTGACCTTCCCCGACCAAAAATTCTTCTCCACTTGGTTTCGAGAGGTGGGTTTTTGAGGTACCTCTAGGTTAATATAATGGCGAAAGCAGTGTCGGATTGTCTGAAAAGAGTCCTAATGGTACCACCAAAGTACTTTACAGTGGAAGTAAGTGATTTTTTTCCAATTTTTATTCATCTCAGGTTTGGCATTATCGCACAGTGCAATCAAAAAATTTTTGCACAGTGCAATTTCTGAAAGTTCAAATTGCACTGTGCAATCTTCTTTGGGTTTATTTTGCACAGTGCAATCGTCCTTTTTGGTTTTTGTCGCTTCGCACAGTGCAAATCGCAGCTTTCTTTTGATTGCACCGTGCATTTTCAATTTTTTCTCCGTTTGCACTGTGCGGTCGGAAAAATGAAAAGGATGCGATTTGCACGGTGCAAAAAATTTAAAATAAAATCGACGCACTGTGCAGACGCATGTGAAATTTTTTTTACTGGAAAATTTTTAAAAATAAAAAAAAATTCAGTACAGTATAAACCCATGGATGGGCGGTATTGTGGACAAAGATCTGGCATTCAAGCAATGGAATACGCTGAAGGAAACGATCGAAAAACAAGGAGTTCAAGTGAGTTTTTAGAAGCATTTGAGACTCTAATTTTGATTGTTTTTAGGTTTTGACGTTGGATCCAGCCCCTAATCTCCCGGATATGGTGTTTGTGTGTAATAGGTAAAACGACGACTACATTTTTTGTAAAAAGATCTCAAAAAATTTTTTTTTCTTTTTTAATGTTTTGTTTGGACGGTGTACAGTTCGCACCGTGCAAAATTCTTTTCTTCTTCCTTTTGCACCGTGCGAATTGCCAATTTATCTTTTGCACTGTGCAAACTAAAAATTTTGCACTGTGCGTCAGATTTTTTAGTCTTCTTTCGTTCCGCACTGTGCATTCTTCAATTCGTTTAGTTTGCACAGTGCAAATTGCCGACTTATTTTTTGCACCGTGCCGAAGTAAGAATTGAGGATTGCTCTGTGCGCCTAAATTTTTCTGTCTTCTTTTGCTCCGCACCGTGCATTCTTCAATTCTTTTGTTTTGCACAGTGCAAATCATCGATTCATATTTTGCACACTGTGCACATGCACGGTGCAAATTGTCGATTTGGAGTTTGCACTGTGCAAAAATTCTGTTTTATTTGTTTTGCACAGTGCAATTCATCGATTTATCTTTTGCACTGTGCGTCCTGTTTTGCAGACTTCTTTTGTTCCGCACAGTGCAAATTATTGATTAAAGATTTGCACTGTGCGCCTAATTGTTTAGTCTTCTTTCGTTCCGAACTGTGCATTCTTCAATTCGTTTGTTTTGCACTGTGCAAATTGTCGCCTTGGAGTTCGCACTGTGCAAACATTCTTTTTTCTTTATTTTGCACAGTGCAATTCATCGATTTATCTTTTGCACTGTGCGTCTATTTTTTCTGCCTTCTTTGTTTTCCGCACTGTGCAAATTATTGATTAAAGTTTTGCACTGTGCGACTAGTGAATATTCTGCACTGTGCATTCTTCAATTTTTTCTCGCACAGTGCACTTTATTTTTTTTATTTTCAGCGGTCTGGTCCACAAAAACAACGTGTATTTGTCGACGTTCCGGCACAAGGAGAGGTCGGGCGAGCAACAACACTACCTGAAATGGTACCGCGAGAACGGCTTCGACATTTTCGGCGCCAATTTTGAGCGATATTTCGAGGGCGGCGGCGACGCCGTCTTCTCGGATTACAAAACTTTGTGGGCGGGGTACGGCGAGAGGACTAATAAGAGCGTGTACGAGTACGTGAAGAGGATTGGGGACTTTGAGATTGTGTACTGCGAGATGGTGGACCCCAAGTTTTATCATCTGGACACTTGTTTTACGCCCGTTGGTGCCGATTCGGCGCTTTATTACCCTCAGGCGTTCAGTGAGAAGACTAATAAGGAGGTGAGGGAGTTTTATTCTCTCATTTTGTTGAACTTTAGAGCGAAAATTTGGGAAAAAATAGACTTTATCGGAGATTTCCAGAAAATACGTCATGATGACATGTTTATTTTTGCAGAAACTGAAGAAAATTTTAGACATTTTAGATGGTATGATTATCAAAAATAAGGTCCAAAAATTTCAAGGCCAAATTTTGAAAATTCCAGAAAATACGTCATGATGACATGTTTATTTCTGCAGAAAATGAAGAAAATTTTAGACATTTTAGATGGTATGACCATCAAAAATAAGGTTTAAAAATTTCAAGCCGAAATTTTGAAATTTCCAGAAAATACGCCATGATGACATATTTTTATAACGTGTTTTTGAAAAATTTGATAGTTACATTTTATTCGTGGACCCTCAAAAACGCCTATAAAAATTATTGTAACAACCACTTTCATTTTTTTATCGATTTTTTCTCATATTATTATACTTTAGATCATCAAGTATAAAATGTAAATTTTTAAAAATTTTAGATCCTATCCCGCTTGCCCAAAGCAATCCCAGTCTCCCCCGAAGAGGCCACCGCATTTGTCTGTAATGCGATTACTGTTCGAAAAACCGTAATTTCGCCGATTGGAGTTGCCGAAAACACGAGGAATGCCCTGAAGGCATTGGGTTACGAGGTCGCGGAAGTGGGCATGAGCGAGTTCATGAAGTCCGGAGGCGCTTGTCAATGTCTCGTTATGAAATTGTAGACTGTGTTTTATAATTGAATAAAAAATAAAAAAAATTTCGCACAGTGAAAAAAATTAATTCAGAAATTTTACACCGTGCAAAAGACATTTCAAAATGTTGCACTGTGCAAAAAAATACAGTTCCAATTGCACTGTGCAAAAAATGAATTCAAAAATTTTGCACTGTGCAAAAAAAAATCAGCTCAGAAATTTCGCACGGTGCAGAGAATATTTCAAGATGCTGCACAGTGCAAAAAATGGATTCAAAAGTTTCGCACCGTGCAAAGAATATTTCGAAATGTTGCACTGTGCAAGAAAAAATCCAGTTCCAATTTTTGCACTGTGCAGGCAAAAATTTTTTCTGCACTGTGCAAAAAATAAATTCAAAAATTTTGCACTGTGCAAAAAAAATCAACTCAGAAATTTCGCACTGTGCAGGCAAAATTTTTTTTCTGCACTGTGCAAAAAAATATCAATTCGGAAATTTCGCACGGTGCAGAGAATAAATATGCCGCACCGTGCAACCAATATTTTAAGATGTTGCACAGTGCAAAAAATGGATTCAAAAAAATTGGCACCGTGCAAAAAATGGATTCAAAAAAGTTTTGCACCGTGCAAAAAATATTTCAAGATGTTGCACTGTGCAAGAAAAAAATCCAGTTCCAATTTTTGCACTGTGCAGGCAAAAATGTTTTTCTGCACTGTGCAAAAAAATCAACTCGGAAATTTTGCACGGTGCGGAGAATAAATATGCCGCACCGTGCTACCAATATTTTAAGATGTTGCACAGTGCAAAAAATGGATTCAAAAGTTTCGCACCGTGCAAAAAAATATCAATTCGGAAATTTCGCACCGTGCAAAAAATATTTCAAGATGTTGCACTGTGCAAGAAAAAATCCAGTTCCAATTTTTCTGCACCGTGCAAAAAGACGAATTCATAATTTGCACAGTGCAAGAAAAAATTTCAGAAATTCTGCACGGTGCAAAAACAAAAAAATTTCAATGTTCCAAATTTCGTCCGTTTATTTTACAAAATGCATTCATTATATACAATAAATACTCTACAAAAATCCGTAAGCATTTCCGTAGCGTCCGTAGGATGAGTCGGAATTCGCGAAACTCCCATATGGATTGGAATATCCACCTCCAAGGCCTCCGCCAAAGGGCGACAGAATACTGCCCGAGGCACTGCTGTCATATTGAGCATGAATTGAGGAAATTAGAACCACTAGGAGGAGCAACGAGAAGAGTTTCGAGGTCGAGAACATTGTTTTTTATCTGCAAATAGAAGATTTTATATTATTTTAGAGGATTTGTAGAGGGTTTATTGAAATTTACGGTTATTTTCGCGAAATCAAAGTGAAAAATAGAATAAAATTTAAATATGGCATCAAGAAGGAGCTATAGCAATCAATTTTAATAAGTTTTTTCTTTATTTTTTGTCAAAAAATTTCACTGCACTGTGCAGTGACAACTTTTGAAAAGTTGCCAAAAGCTCTTGAAACTTGGCAAAACTTAAGACAAAACTTTTTAAGGACATATATAAGACTTTTAGCAGCGATTTAGAGTCATAACCGAGGTTTTTAAATCAAAAAAATTTTAAAAATTTCGAAATTTTTTTCCGAGTTTCGGGCTTAAAATTTCACAGCTTTCTCTAAGTGTAGAGTACAATATTCCCACAAAAAATTTAACTTTTTCCAGCTATATTCAAAGAGATATGGAAAAAAAACTTTTTTTTCTCTGACCGCTCTCCTTTTTTCCGTGCTCTCTAGGAAAAAAGATTGTTGAATAACTCGACTCCCTCTGGATATAATGAGCTACAATTTTGTGGGATTAATTTGAGGACTTTACGCAGTAAGTGTGCCAAATTTGAAGGGGATCTGACATAGGGTACCTTACTTATTAAACTTTTTTTCCAAAATTTTACGGAAATTTCCGGCTAAAAAGTCATCAAAAATAAAATCTGCTCAACTCAAAGAACCCTGGAAATTTGCCAACGGCCCATCGAACATGACCGATCTATCCCTTTCTGCCACTCGAATTGTTATCGATTTTTGTTATATAGCGATAACAAGAAGGGGGAAAATTGACCATAAAGCGTAACAAATCAGCCCCCCTCTCTACTCTTTAAAGAAATCGCGGTTAAAGGACAGACAAAAAAATTTGATGAGATTCATTACAACGAGAAGACCAACATCAAATAAATCAGAGAACAGTTTTTGCGGAAGATTCGCGAAAACAACAACAATCCCTGAAACAGAGCGGCTAATTTTAGAGCATACTGTAAAGCAATATCAAAAAGGGGGGAATTTGTAAATTCTCGAATTGAAACTTTTTCCTGACGATGAGGCGATGAAATTTCACAAGGAAAGGCTTTTCGCGGCCCTCCAATTCCGTCGCACTCCGAAAAATTGGGTTCTCGCTGCGACAAATGGGAATCGCGCGCGACTTATCGCAAAAAAACAAAATTGCACTGTGCAAATGCACTTTTTGGGCCAAACGCACGGTGCAAAAGGTTTATGCTCTTTTTCGAGTTCATGCACAGTGCAGAGTCGCAGAAAATTTCAAGAACTTTTTGCCGCGACGCGATTATCTTTGCGGCCAAGAGAGTATGTAAAATGCGGAAAGCGGTTACAGAGAAAAACATTTTTTGTTTTTTGGCCCTATCTTTGCCAATTTTACCCGGAAAAAGCTGACTTTTAGGTAAAAAATTACGGTAAGAATACTATACATAAACCTTTCACGCCAAGATTCGCCAAAAAAATCGCCCAATTTTTTCCAATTTTCGTCCTAAAAATCTTGGCACAGTTCAATCTTTTCATTCCCCAGCGCACAGTGCAGTCTCCAAATTTCACCGCGCACAGTGGAACTAAAGCAGAAAAAAAGATCCCGCACAGTGCGAAATCCCCAGAAAATTGGATTGCACTGTGCGAGAAGTGAAACAGGGGGAAATCGAAACGCACAGTGCAACAAAAAATCGGGGCAAAATCAAAACGCACAGTGCAAACGCGACAAAATGGAAGACGCACAGTGCAAAAGCGACAAATTGGAAGACGCACAGTGCAGAAGCGACAAATTGGAAGACGCACAGTGCAAACGCGACAAATTGGAAGACGCACAGTGCAAAAGCGACAAATTGGAAGACGCACAGTGCAAAGAAATGCATGTGTGAACCGGAATGGAAGAGGTCATTTTGTCGCACAGTGCAGATCGAACTTTGGGAGGGCGAAAAGAAATTGCACGGTGCGAAGAGGATCGCGTCGCGCGAGGAACACGAAACTTGCACTGTGCGATGTGGAAAAAGGTCGAAAAAAGTCTTCGCACAGTGCAATTTTCTTCTTTTTGCACCGTGCAATTGTTGTCGCGCGACGTTGAAAAAAACTTATGTCGCGGCGATTTTTGAAATGCACAGTGCAAAAGGTCAAATGCACAGAGCGGAAAATTTGCGACAAAAAGTCTACGCACTTTCTGAAACGTCTAACGAAGAATTTTTAAGACTGCACTGTGCAGGAAATTCAAAAAATTTTGGTCGATTTTTTCGACCAAAAAATCCAAAAAATTTTTTTTTCTCTTTTCCGACTACTTTTTCAATTTAAATACCGAAAAAGAAAGAAAAAGAAACGCCCAAAATGACCGGAATTAGTCGGAAAAAAAACGCGTGAGGCGAGCGAGAAATGCACCGAGCTAATCTAAAGTTCATAACTAACTGAATTAAGCCGCGGACGCCATGAAATTGCACGCAAACTCAGATGACAGCCACGTCGAAAACAACAGTGATCAGAAATACATTCGAAAATATTTTTTAAACCCCCCGGTTTCCACATTACATTACGCTTTGAAGGACGGGCGAAAAACAAGTGATCGATGGGCATGTGATACGATTGGCGGCTATTTTTAGCCGAAAGAATGTATTTTTAAACACGAGAAGTGATCATTGGGATGATCAGAATTACACTCGAACGCACTTTGGATGTTGGATTTTGAGGTGTTTCGAGGAAGCTGGTTGATTAGAAATTTCGAAAATGCCCTTTTCATAGGGTAGAATATGTATTGGAACGTCGAAAATTGGGGAAAAATAGGATTGGGAAACTGAAAAGTATTTTTTTCTTCAATAAAAGTGTTCAAATTATGTCATCAGAATATGCTTGTGGCTACACTTTCAACCCAAAATTGAAAGCCATCGAAAGAGATCCCGAGGGGTAATCAATGGCGTAGATTCCAAAAATCATATTCGTTTTTTCTGATTCTTACTTTTTTGCTAGTAATGTTAAAAAGTAATTTTTTGAATTTTTTCTAAAAATAGTCGATTTAGGGGTTATCGAGGGTGCTGATTTCGAAAATAACATTCATTTTTTAATAGTTACTTTTTTCCTTAAGTTCGAAATCAGCACCCACGATAACCCCTAAATCCAGTATTTTTGGAAAGATTCCAAAAAATTACTTTTTAACACTACTGCTTAAGGAAAACTAGTAAAGTTGAGAAAAAATGAACCCGAAATTCGAAATCAGCCCCCTCGATAACCCCTAAATCGACTATTTTTAAAAAAAATTCAAAAAACTACTTTTTAACATTACTACAGGGTCTTACAAAAAACGTGAAGGAAAGTGGAAGGCTATAACTTCCGGCGGAAGCGGCGCAGAGACTTCGTATTTGAAACATGTATTTTTAAAAAACATTAGTTTTTGTCTACGAAATAACAAGCTTTTAAAGTGCAAACTGAGGTCGCTACGACCTTCTGAAGTAGAGGCATCTCTACCCCGAAAACCAGGTTTTCTCGGTTGAAGATGATCGAGAAATTTCGGTCTTTTTCGGTTGAAAATCACCAGGAAATGTCGGATTTTTTGGGGGGTTTCGATATGGGTGATGTTGAAAAAAGAGGAGGAAAGTGCCAACACTTGCAATTTTTTCGACGAAACCCCCAAAAAATCCGACATTTCCTGGTGATTTTCAACCGAAAAAGAACGAAATTTCTCGATCATCTTCAACCGAGAAAACCTGGTTTTCGGGGTAGAGATGCCTCTACTTCAGAAGGTCGTAGCGACCTCAGTTTGCACTTTAAAAGCTTGTTATTTCGTAGACAAAAACTTATGTCTTTTAAAAATACATATTTCAAATACGAAGTCTCTGCGCCGCCTCCGCCGGAAGTTATAGCCTTCCACTTTCCTTCACGTTTTTTGTAAGACCCTGTACTTTAGCAAAAAAGTAAGCATCGGGAAAAACGAATATGATTTTTGGAATCTACGCCATCGATTACCCGATTTTTGACCTTTTCGGCCATTTCGGGGAAACATCGAAAGAGACCCCCAATTCCGGGGTCTCTTTCGAGGAAAACCCCTCGAAAGAGACAAATTCTACTCATTGATCAGTCAACGCTTTGGTTGCATGAAGTTAATTGGGTTATATGCAGACCTGGAAATTGTTGTCAGCACGAAAGACAACCCGGTACAGTGCCATGTAAAGGCGCCGTCACTGCTTGGGAATTACAACCGTGAGTACGAAGTTACAGAATTAGGTTAAATTTCTGTTTAGTGCTTTGGTATAACGCCGCGGTCAATTTGATGGACAAAGTTATCAGAGTGCAGGAGTCATTCCTGTTTCGATTGAACGACATTGAGTTTAAGGAGGCTCCAGCGCGCCTATCTGGGATCGCAAAGGCAAATGGATTTGACTTGATTAGGGTTTTCTTCAAACCGAAACCGTCGGATCCCCGATGTAGAATGTTGCGATTGTTTCTGATGGCGAAATGTGATGATTCGTTCAAGCTTTGGTGCAGCCTTAAAGCCGATGGGATTGAAGCTATAGATGATAAGGATTGGCCGAAGAATTCGAACGGAACCGATAAATTCGAAAGGCCCACGCTTTCGAAAGTCAGATTAGAAGTTGAAGTGGTAAAAATGGAAAAAGGACCCATCAACTCACAAGAAATCGGTTAGATTATGAAGAAAGGTTAACCGTCATTGTAGTTTTAATTTGTATCAACAACACATTGCTACAAAAAGCAAAGGCAACCAGAGTAAACCTCCTTGTGTCTCCGCATTACGGCCAACAAGAACGAAGAAACAAAATCGCAAAAGTGGAGAGGTGGACACCTATCGACGTGGACACCGCGTCGATTCAAAAATTCAACTCCACAACATTCCCTCAAGATCTCACACCCGACCAAATAGAAGGAGTAGAACACGCATTCAGCCAAGAGCTAGGCATTGTAATGGAAAGCATGAACACAATTGAAAACTTTTGCTTAGGGTCCGACATGATGCGGCAAAAGCCTGCTGGCGGTTTTCATCGCATTGTTCAACTGGCACTGTTTGAGAAGAAGGACCCTGCTTTTGGTAACAACCCCAGCGGCCGCGATGAACCTTCTGGGCCTACTGAAGCGCTTAGAGAAGCAGATGAAAGACAAAGCGGACTGCGAATTCTCCAACGTCACGTATTATTGCCGCCGAATGGATCTACAGGGTGACCCAAAATAACGGAGACAAAAGATTTCCCGTTTTTTCTGCGACTTATTAAGATTCATGAGTGACTCCTTATTTATATTACAGTACCACGTTAGGGTAGTTTTATTTACCGATAGTTTTGTTGTACGACGCTCTTCTGTCTTGAACGACATGAATATATCCGGTTGACTCGGACCCTTCTGCCCGTGGGGTCTTTTTACAAGAAAGCTGCCTTACTCAAAAAAGAAAACTCGGAATAGTTTGAGATGTGCAGTGAACAATTATCGTAATAAGACCTTTAAAATGAGCTATCATACAAAGCTTAACTATCGATGGTTCAAAAGTTGCAGCCGAGTATTTTCAGGCAGTTGAAGTGCAAAAATCGGCCTTTTTTGAAAATGTAAGCGTAAGAAGGAGTTTGAATGTTAGATAAGGCAAAATGTAATACGAGTTACTAGAACACGATTAAAGGAACACCATAAAAGCAAAAGAGAAAAATTTTGTAACTGCTACGGAATGCTATTTGGTAATCACTAGAATTCTGCCTTATTTTTGCCTTAGGCGGAATACCGGTCGAGCCGGTGACACAGAGAGACCGAAAGTGCCCTAGGCTGATTCTTAAGAGTCGCATTCATAAGTGTACAGGAGCATAATGCGCCGTTTTTATCCATCTTGTCATTCTGTTATCGATAACCCATCTTTCTCAAAGCAGCGTGCCATGGGGAAGTTCTGGGCGAGAATCTTGTTAAAGAAAAGCTGTTGCAACCAGCAAGCAATCACAGATTTTTTCAGAATCATTGTATTTATGAATAGAACACGTACTAGTGGTTTTAGCTTTATTCGAAAAAAACTGAATTTTTTACGGAAAAAATTTGGAAAAAATGGCAATCTTCAATGTTGAGATCGGTACCACCGTAGAAATAAAAACCGTAGCCCAAAAACCTATGCAACTGCTTTCTTACGGACATAGTAGTCTAACAAAACAAATGAACTTGCCTTTTCTGCGGCTGTAGTACAGCCAGGCTTTACACAACACAAGGGAACTAAAATTGAGGGCCAAAAAACGGCACAAAGCATCTTTCTTAAGCTGTAACTTTTTACTGCGACATGATGATTCCACCAAATTCTCGTGGATTATAAAGGAGGTGTTATAGAATATTACCCGCTGTCGCTTATGTTACTCTAACGCCCGGTTTTCGCGGTGGGACCCTCCAAAAATTGTCTCCGTTATTTTGGGTCACCCTGTATTTAACGAAGGATTGGACCCATTTGATGAGTGGATAAATGCGTCGGACAAATTCGACAACGTGGGTTAATGAAGAAGGTAATAAGCGGTGTGTAGGAAACGGTAATCTGCATAAGCGTCGTGGTAAACATTTCTAAAGCAGTTGTCCAGTTTCACGTGGTCATCGACGAAACAAACGCCACCAACCTGCTGGATTTGGGAAACATTATTGCGGAGAAGACTGTGAGTTTGTACATGGAGGATAACTCCAGTTACTCCACACGTCCTAAACATTGGACCTTATTTGGTGATCCGGTACAAGGAGCAGCTCAACTCCCGTTGGCTTCCATGTTTGATCAGAAGGTGACCTTCAGGACTGGGCTTGATTTGGACGGAATTACAATCCTCATTAGAGCCGGTTGTCCTTATTACGCCCTGAAAGAAATCATCCGAGGAGGGCTGCAGCGAAATTTCTTGGTCCCATTCTTCTAGTAAGTTTGAAAGTGGTTGAATTAAATAAGTTTTAGTAACTATAAAGTCGCAATTTGTTCAAACGACCAGCTGTTTGTGAAGTTCCAGACGGAGAAAGCGGATTGGGCCACAAGTTCATGGAGCAAGTGAAAGGGAAGTCGATTGCCTCCATGACGATAACGCACACATGTATGAGGAAAAGGTCCCAGCGGACTCACTGAGTAATCCGGTTTCCGCGCAATTATCTCTTGGGATTTGTGAGAACTTGATTGGCTTCGAAATGGTAAACGGTGTGAAATTGAGCCCAACAGACATGCTTGTGATAGTTCCTTACAAAGGTAAATCATCGCTAAGGTATTACTCTGGTTTTTAGCTCAACTCGGCCAATATTCGATTGAGCTCTTGAAAGAAGAAAACAAGGGCCTTCATGGAATTCGATGTTGCACGCCGGATATGATTGGAAGCGGAGAACGCGCAGTAGTGGTTGTGGACACAGTGAGCAAAAACGGACTGGGAATCTTGAACGGTTATCAACGAGACTGGCCGTCTCTACAAAACCGCAGCTCTCTTTTGGTAGCCATAACCAGATCGACAGCCGCCAACTTCATCATCATTGCAACGGACGACTCACAGTTAGATGGATCTGTCCCAATTCATTGGATGATCAATGAAAACAAAGCCTCTAAGCTTCCGGACGTTCACCATATCCATTATGAGGTAAGAACCGTTTCCTTAGCCAACGAGCGCGTTTAGAAACCTTTCACCGTTGTTAGAAACAACGGTGACTAAGGACCCAACCAGGACCCATGCGTGGACAACGCTTCTCATCTTCTCGTGGAGGGTTCAACAGTTTCAGCCAAAGTCAACATGGGCAAAGCCTTCAGAACATCATTGATCTCAGCCCATACGATGAAGATTTGTATGAGAACAACGAAGTCTTTGAGAGGGGCCCATAAGTTCAGTGCTGATGGATTCAGGAATTATCGCCTATTTTCAGTCTTTGTTGTGAAAATAAACTACCATGTGAACGAAGATGCGTTTTAAATGTGATGTGTTTGTAATGCACTGATTTACTTCTGTTACGAACATTATATACCATGTTTTAGAGTGATCGTATTCAGAAAGTCGGAACACTCACAAAACAACAATGGAACCAGACATCCCAAATTTAGAACGCAGACGGGATACATCATATTTTCGGTAGGAATTGTTTGCCTTGAACAGGTTTTTACGTTTAGACGAAAGACAGTGGAAGAACAGAGCGTTGCCCAAATTTTTTCGATCTGAAACCACCAATTAAGCATAGCATCGACACGACCGGAAGCATGGCCCCATGTTTTATGTGCTGGCGGAAGGAGAAGCCACAGGATCCATCGTTTCGCCAAGGCCATACTGCACGATGCGTGCCCAGATTGGAGGGCTTTATGAGGGATGTGTACGATGTAGAACGAATTGTATGGCCAAGCCAACTGAACTGTTGGACGAACGGAAGCCCCATCCAGATTTGGCTTGAAGGTCCCACAAAAAATGCGAAATTTGAACAGTAGGGTTATATGCGAAAGTTATTTTTTGTGTTTAGTTCTTTACTACATAGCAAGTCTGAACGTGATCGAAGTCCCATTAATCATTCAAGAGAGTTTCGAATTCGAAATGAACAATTTGAGTGTAAAACCACTTGCGTACGACTGCCTACGCACTGATCCGAATTTCCAGCTGGCCCTAATTGAAATTAGATTTACTTTACGTAGAGAAGATGGGAAAACCAAAATGCTCCGACAATTCATCATAGACAGCAGCCGAAATGGCTTCTATCTGATCCTGAACAAACGACAACTGAAGCATCCGGACACACAACGTATAGAACTACCCCATTGGCCAAAAGATGTTCCGTTGCCGGAAGTGGCCAAAGAACGAGAGGCCCTAGCTGTTTACAAAGTGGCTCAAAACCCCATTGTATCGGACACAGTAGGTAAGATGAAAGCGAAATGCTAAATCACCGTGTATGAATACGTTTCGGCTTCAGTTTTAATTTGCCATTCGAACAGCATAACAAATGGCATGGATTCAAGCATAGACAGGCTAGAAGGAGTGTATTACACCATTTCCTGTGCTTATGGAACAGGTTTCAGATGGGAGATGAAGCGCAAAATTGTTAAATTCTTCCGTGAACATGTCCCGACTGTACCCGCCTTTGCAACGCACTTCTTAGCCAACTACAATTCGATTACTATGGGCCCATTCTTGGAATCAGACAAACTCCATCGCCCACCCGACGTCTTTCGCGAGGATTTGGAAGAGTTCAACAACAACTTCTTTCCAACAAAATTAAATTCCTCACAGATGGATGCCGCATTCAAAATGTTTGAAAACGAATCCGCGTGTACGATTGTAAGTATTTATGAACACTTATCCAAAAAAGCTTTAAGGGACCCACTGGAGCCCGAAAATCGCTTGTAGTGGTTTTCATAGCCGTTTTTAATTGGAATACCTTCGTCGCCGCACCCTGATCCTCACTACCAGAAAAGCCGTCTCATTGTCAATGGTTAGTGTCGTAAAGAGAGTTTGGACACAGATGGTTGAAAATGGTGCTCGTGCCAAGCTTTGTATCGATCCTGTGCTTCCGCTGGCCTACGCCATTTCCAAATTGAACATTATGAGCAAAGACATTGAGACAGTGAAAGACGTAGTGGTGTTCAGCAAATCCGTCCCGAAGGTGGGTCATACAGCCCGCATCACGTCTTGTTTTATGAAACAGCCGTTCTGGTCTCATTATTGGGCGATGTAAATCGGAAGGTGGTCAACAAATTCAGATGTGATCACATCGTCTTAGACGAAACTAACCTTGCCGATCCTCTAGAACTCGCTGCAATGATGACAAACAGATATACTTCCTTGCAGCAAGACGATTTTTCTACATATTCAAGTCGACCTAAACATGTCTCGTTCTTTGGCGATTGCTTCCAGATATCCGTCAACTTTATCCTGATTGGCCAATTTCAAAAGGGGGCGGAGCCAAAAATGGACGAAGGGAGTAAAATCCAGGTTTACTCGCCGCCATTCGATTTCTCGGCCCCGGCGAGTAAACTCCCGATTTACTCCCGAAAATCAAATTTTTTTCCAAATTTTGGAGTAAACTTCGGGTTTACTTTTTTTTGGCATTTTTGGGAGTAAAAAAAATTTTTACTCCAAAATCGAAAAAAAGTGAATTCGAAAAATTTTCTAAATTTTCCTCCGAAATCTTCTGTCTTCACTCTTATATCTTGACAAGTGGGATCGCAGATCGTCGCATACTCTTGAAATCGGCTGTTTTCGGGACAGTCGGGAACAGAGATTGCCACGGTCAAGATTTCGGCTCCGGCTCTTAGCTCCCAGAGCCGGAGCCGAGGCCAAATTTGCAGCTCCGGCTCCCGGCTCCCATGAAAAACTTAAAAAGGTCTGCGGCTCCGAATCCCGGCTCCCTTGCAAAAAAATTTTTTGAAATATTTTTTCAAAAATAAACGTTATTAGTGCCAGAGATCATACACCCAACGTTTTTGCAACCAAGTTGGATGCAACACATCCTTCCCAGTATTTTTCAAGCAATTTGGTTTAACAAGATCATGAAAATTTTACTGTTCTGAAGTACAGCCGTGAGGCGTTTGGACCGCCGCCGAGTCCCGAAGCGATCAGAATGACAGCATTGGCATTCCGTCGCAAGCCGTGGAAATGGGAATTATGGGGACAATGAGGACAGTCGATGAGGATTGGCACGTACGAGAACGGCTGGGAAACGTCGAAGACCGCCCAGGCCAGATATCTGCCGGTGATATTGATCTGAATTGTGTTGATTTGGTTGTGATTGTATTCGGATTAGAGGCGGATAAAGGTGTGTTGGTTTATTGTTGGATTCGTTGTGTTTTTAGGATTGGTCTGAGGAAAGAGTCCCAGACCTGTTGAGAGATAGGAGCGGTACCTGATCGTGTGGGAGAAGGACCGTGAAATCTAGTCTGAACGCTGAGAAGCCTGTCTCCGACTTTGGGCTCGAGCTGGAGCCGCACCCAAAATTTCCGGCTCTGGCTCCCGGCTCGGAGCCGGAGCCGCTCAGAGCCGGAGCCAAGAGCCGGCTCCGGAGCCGTGGCAATCTCTGGTGTTAAGTAGTATTTTTTTATGTGTAGTGGGTTTTCGATGGCGCTGATTTCAAAAATCGTATCCATTTCTTCTGAATTTTTGCCTTAATCTGCAATTCTTCAAAATAAATGTTTTAATTGGTAAAAACTTGGTCAAACTTGTATGATCTCGTGAGAAAACTTCTGACGCTTTTTTGTCTTTAAAGCCAAACATTAAAATTGTAAAGTGCAAAAAAACAGGGATACGATCTTCGCAACCATCACTATCGAAAACATATCAATCAAGAAGCGCTTTTCAATTAGGATTAATTGTTGTGTTGTTGTGCGAGAAAAGAGAAAAAGACGCAAATAAAAAGTAAAGGAACTCTTTTCTAAACAAAGTTGTTTTCCTTCAACTTTCCTTGTTTTTCGTGCAATAATTTTCAGCGATTTTCTCAAGGTACGTATTCCAAGTGCGACGCTCGGATTTTATTTAAATTTTGCGCACATTTTGAGCAAAGGCCATGTCTCAATGCCTGAAAATTTTAGCTCACGGTTTGCCGGGAGAGATGGGATATTCGAACGTTGAATGTCAGTCTGTCGGGAAAATAGTGTCCCGGCAAAAGAAATTGTATTTTGCCGGGACACAATCCCTTCTCTCGGCGGCGATGCGATTCGATGCCACAGAGTGCTCATTATTTTCCCGACAAACTGATATTAGTTTGTCGGGAAAATAACGTGGATTCGATGGCAAAATGTCTCACCTCGTCGCAGTCGCATACCAAATCTGCGGCTAGCCGTCGCAAAGCAATGATGAGCGACTAGGGCTCGAGACTTCGCAGCCTGCGGCTGCTCACGTCTCTCGGGCAGCCCTGCGCCAGGTTTCGCTACTTTGCGCGCGATTCGGACCTGTTCAACGGGAAAACAAACTAAACGCTCGCCAAAGCTTTGCCAACGGCCTCCGGTCCTACCTACTGCATCCTGCAGTACAAATAAAAATTCAAAAAAATTCCATCTGATGCCCTGAGGGCCGAAATTCGGCCAAAATTAAAGACTTCTTTTTTGATGACCCAGTGCGCAGCGAATACGGAACCAACGACCTGAAACTTGGCACGATGGTATTAGTTCGGTTTGTCGACTATAACATTCAGCAAGTTGAGTCTTCAAAGACCTTTGCTTGCCCTGAGGGGATTTTTTTGAAAAAGGCGCCCATTTTTCGGCCGAAATTTGCGGCCGCTCTGACGGCCGTAATTCAAGTGCTACGCAAAAGAAAAAAAAGTTTACTCTAAATTTGTACCAAGTCTCTCATCAAAATCTGAGCGTCGCATTTGGAGTAATTTCAGTATTTCCTTTTTCACCTTAAAGTGACATCACCTTGAAGTGACAATGAAGGCTCTGACACTGGGAAATGGAGTGGAAATGCCGGTTTTAGGACTTGGCACCTTACAGGTAATCGCTCTTAGGCAACATTTTTTATGAGCCATATCAAAAACATTGTGCGAAAGCAGGAAGTGCGCCGTGCGTTGGCGACGAATTCCGTGGACTGCGACACCGCGCGGATTGCGACCCAAAATGGGGTAAAGCGACCCCGTGGTGAAAATTTTTTGATTTTTGTCGGGAAAAACTTGGCTTATGGGTTTTCGGGGGTGCTGATTTCGGGAATCGTGTTCGTTTTTTCTGAACTTATCAAGCTCGCGACCTAGGTCATGACCTAGGTCAAGGTGTTTGCCCAAAAAAACCCCGGAAATGGACTCAATGCTTGATTAAGATGGTCAAAAATCCCAAAAAAAAATATCAAGCTCACCGAGAAAAAAAGACAAAATTATTATCAATACATCATTTTTAGTCGAGTTCCGAAGAATGCATGAAAGCGATTCATGCTGCGTTGGACGCCGACCACAGACTAATTGATACAGCGTCCATTTCCAAAAATGAAGAAGATGTCGGGAAAGCCTTGGAAGCGTATTTTGAAACTGGAAAGTTGAGCCGGAAAGATGTGTTTATCACTACGAGAGTGAGCTTGGACAAGAAAATTGTATTATCAGTTTGTCGGAAAAAATAATGTGGATTTGTCGCAAGAAATGCCTTGCCTCGTCGCAATAGCGCACCAAGTTTACAGCGGCGGCTAGAAAGTGATGTTGAGCAATTGAAAGGCGAATCCACATTATTTCCCGGACAGACGAATATTTTCGAAACCTCGCCGTTTGGTAGCTGTATATTTCCCATATTTTAGGTGTGGAGCGAATTCAAACCTCCCGAAGACGTCGAGAAAACGTTAAGAGAGAAGTTGAAGGCGTTGCGAACGGACTACGTTGACTTGTATCTGATTCATCAGCCGCCAGAGCTTCTGGTAAGTGGATGATGTTACTCTATGTGCACCGGATCGTTGAATATCTCGTGTGAAAAAGAGATGGGCAATATGTTTTTTCCCTCCTCTGACCGCCTTTTGCGCATTCTCTAGGCCACAAAGGTCTTGGAATATCTCGGCTGTGCGTGCAAAGTGCGAGCTAAAATTTCCAAGGCTTGACATTTGGCGAGCGTTTGTTGTTTAGAAGTTTGCTGTATAGAGATGCACTGTATTTTTCTTCTAAATTATTTATCTTCCCGATTCCAGCAAGAGTATAAAGACACAACCCGCCTCGACAACACCTGGAAGGCCATGGAAGAGGTCTACAAAAAAGGTTTGGCCAGGTCCATTGGGGGCTCGAATTTCTGTGAATATCTAGTTGAGAGTATTCTGTCGATCTGCGAGGTCCCAATGCACATTCTTCAAGTCGAACAGGATTTCTTCTACAACGACGAAATATACACGGCAATCGAGCTTTGCCAAGACCAAAAAATCCCCTTAACTATGTTTGCCCGTCATAGAACGTCGGGAATGATGAGAGTGTTTTATCATGGCGAGCGAGGATGATTGCATCAGGATTGAACGAATTTTAAAATATTACATCATAGGTCTTAATCAGCGCTTTGTAGTTTGGGCCGGGGCACTGCAGGATGAGCCAAGTCTTTCTCCTTGGATGGTCAACTCTTCCTCTCAAAATTCTTTTTTGTCAAGAATAATATAAATTTCTTTATGTTTTAATCTACATACATCGACAGGACAATAACTCTAAAAGTAAGTTAAATTAACCCTCTTTCTAAATATGCAATGATTTTTTGCATTACATAAGTTTATCCTTGCACATTTAGCCATTGTTGCAGGTATACAAATTTAGCTGAATGCTGTTCGTTCTTGCGATTCCATGAACGAAATTTGAAAGTCTTCCCCACAAAAGAACCGGCGTCGAGCCTTCTACGTGCCAGATTTGTGTCAGCATGAAAGGACTTACAGTTTTTTTGTTGATTCGATTTTAGATATTACACTAGGTACTTTCGTAAGTTTAAGGCGAGATTAGGTCACATTTTACGTCATATATGGTCTAAATGGACAATAAAACTTTCTTTTAACATTCTTAACGTTGTAACAGGGATGTCCCCCCTTTTATTGTCGTTTTTGATTTTTCTTCAGATTTTAGGTATGGAACAACTTTGATGTATCCGCGGCCATAGATGCGTTTTAATACTTCGCAAACCATATTTCAATGGTCCCTAGTCGATCTAAAACATGTTTAGAACAGTATGAGAGGTATTTGAGACTTTTTTAGATCCACGTTGTACTTGATCACTTAGACCCTAAAACGTCTCAAACCCGGGTTTGAAAGAATATTTATGTTGGGGACGGTTTAGTAATGGCTCACCTTTGTAGATTCCCGGGTTTAAACTTCAAAAACGTTAGATTTTGCCTGCAATTTGACAAAAGTACCTAGTGTAATATCTAAAATCGAATCAACAAAAAAACTGTAAGTCCTTTCATGCTGACACAAATCTGGCATGTAGAAGGCTCGACGCCGGTTCTTTTGTGGGGAAGACTTTCAAATTTCGTTCATGGAATCGCAAGAACGAACAGCATTCAGCTAAATTTGTATACCTGCAACAATGGCTAAATGTGCAAGGATAAACTTATGTAATGCAAAAAATCATTGCATATTTAGAAAGAGGGTTAATTTAACTTACTTTTAGAGTTATTGTCCTGTCGATGTATGTAGATTAAAACATAAAGAAATTTATATTATTCTTGACAAAAAAGAATTTTGAGAGGAAGAGTTGACCATCCAAGGAGAAAGACTTGGCTCATCCTGCAGTGCGGGGTATTCACCGGTCTCTTAGGGCCAGAGACCATAGAGATTGAGGAGAAAGCAGACATGGCGCGCGGGTTGGGCCGGTCCGTTTCAAATTTTTCTCTAGACGGTTGGGCAATCCGCTCGGTCCGGCGAGGCCCGTTACAGCGCCGGACCTGATCCAGTAGCAAAAACGTACCATTTTGCATCCGGGAATCATCAAAAAATGCAGTAAAATGCCTGCCTCTCCAACTAAAAAAACTCTGTTTTGAAAAGCATTTCCCTCACATAAAGATCGTGCTTTTCGAAATCGGAGTTTTTTCACTTGGAGAGGGCGGTATTCTGCTGCGTTTTTTATGCCTCTCGGATGCAAAATGGTTGGTTTTTTGCCTCTGGATCAGGTCCTCCACTGTGGGTTAATATATGACCAAAGTTTTCCAAAAAGTTTCAATTTCTACATAAAGATACCCTTGCCAAAAGGTTATCCGACCGTCCCTCCTCATTCTCCATGGTTTCTCGTTTGCAAAGAGTGTTGAATATCCCGGCTGAGAATGCAAAATATTTACGATCGTAAACTTTCAATCTTCATTGGCCATCCAGATGACCCGTGGAAAAATGAGAGGAAATAAAAAAAAATTTTCTTTTATTAGTTATTTTTTCTAACAATAAAATGTTTATTAATCACGAGAGAAGTGTCTCTGATCCGTGTTTTTTGGGATAAAATTTTAAATCACGGAATGATATCATGTTTTTGGACAAAGCTGATGATTATGGACTCCAAATCAAGTTGTTATAAAGGCGAAAAATTTTCAAAATTTTCCTCCGAAATCTTCTGTCTTCACTCTTATATCAACACAAAACACCCAAGAAAACCGTTCAAAAATCAAATTCTTGGTTAAAAATCATCAATTTTTGCATAAAATAAGGTCCTAATGATCATAAAACTCTTCCTCTCCAATGTTCTTGTACTTTAAATGTAGGTAGAGTTCTCTTAGTTCATTGGACACCAACATTTCCTAGCTATCTGGTTTTTGAGCTCCAATTGAAGCAATCTTGTTAATCTCGCACTAATGTAAGGCTTATTTTGTAGTGGGCTACTGTAAAAAAGCAAAAGAACAAAAGAAATTTGAAAGAATTGTAGCATCTAGGACCCAATTATCGGAATAAAATAACTTTTCTGGTTATACTAGTTAATTTTACAACTAGTAATTAAAACAAGTAAATTACTGTTTTTCACGTCTAAATTGTATATTTACTCTATTGTGTTTAAGCCAACGTTGGAAAACGATTAAAAATAACTTATAAATAATTTTCGAGCTGTTTACTCTGTTAATTTCTACTTGGCATAACGTTAAAATCCAGTTTTCATATTGCTCATCTACTACAATATAATCCTAAAATCGTACTGAAACCTGTTTATAAGTCGCTTCAAATTGTGTGGGATACGTGGAAGAGAGCTCAATTTTAAATTTTCGCTTCCTTATCGCCATGTGCGATGTATTTTCTCCCATAATATAACCAAATTTCATATGTGTAGTTCAATATATTGGTCAGAAAATCTTTATAAATGGCTGAAAATTGTGTAAACTATCTGAATCGAGGTTTCTCTGAGGTTGTTGGTGTGTTGGCCATATTGGCCAATCTTGTGTTGGGATTATTGGTCCGGAATCAGACCCCGTTGATGATGCATGGCTATCGGAAAGTCTTGTACGGCTCATGTGTTTTGGATGGATTGGCGGCCTTGAGTCATTTACTCATCGTAGTTGTAAGTTCTGTCGATCATTCAAGACCTCAAATTTCGAATTTTCTTTATTTTTTAAAAATTTTTATAGTCTGCACTGTGCAGAGGCAAAAAAAGCCTAAAAATTTGAATGCACTGTGCGAGATACAAAAAACAAAAAAAAAATTGATTTTCCTTATAAAAATAATTTTTAGACAATAAATTTTGTCACCCTCGATCTTATTAGAGTAAAATATTCGATTTTAGATCAAAAGGAAATTCGAATTTTCAAATTTCCCGCCATTTTTGGCATTCTGTTTTAGCATTTACTGCAGCTTCTATCAGTCTGGCCGAAAAAGAACCGGCCTCCCCGAACCCTTCCGTCGCACTCACTCCAAACCCCAATTTGCATCGCGGAGAAATTTGGAGGGCGTCGCCGAAAGAAAGAGCAAAAACAACGCATCGCCAGCGATAAAAGTGGGTTTTGCACAGTGCAAATGCCCTTTTTCTGCTGTTTCGCACTGTGCAATCAACAAAATTCCCACAAATTCAGCGATCTTTCGATGTCGCGCGCACTTTTGCGATGCATCGCAAAAACATTCAATTTCGAGGTTGCGATTTCGAGGCGCGAGGGGGGCCGGTTCTTTTTCGGCCAGACTGATAGAGGTCTCAAAAATACAAACAAAACGACAGAAAGAGCATTTTGAACTCGAAAACTTATCGTTCGAGTATTTTTGAAGCTAAGGTTTCAAAACAGTTTACTAAATTGTATATTATCCATGACAATTTTTAATGTCCAAAAAAATATAAAAGGCTTTTTCCTGATACTCTGCCTGGAATTAATTTTATAACCTATTAGCACACCTTTCCTTATCAGTAGCAACCATTTTAGGCCAAAAAATTACTGAAATTTCAAACTTTCGAGAATATCCAGAAAATCTATCACCCCAACTCTAAAAGTGAAGGAATGAAGCAGTTTTCCGAGTCCAAACTTTTATTACAAATTCACCATGACCTACTACAACAAGCGAAAAAATAAAATTTGCAAAAAGTTGCTGTTGAAATGATGTCATCATGACCGACTTTCTGGAATTTTGTGGGTTTGCTTTTTTACCGGAGTTTTGGGAGTCCAAATTTTTATTACAAGTTTACCATGACCTACTACAGCAAGTGACAAAATAAAATTAGCGAAAAGTTGTTGCTGAAAAGATGTCATCATGACGGATTTTCTGGAATTTTGTGGTTTTGCATTTTTACCGTGCACTTTTCAATTTGTATTTTGGAAGAGGATAAAAATTAGCCTCTAGAAGTACGAAGTGGTCATAAGTAGAAAGTACAATTGTTACATTCGCATAACTCCTTAAACAAAAGAGTTACAACCAAAGATTACATGCCATTCTCACTAAACACTTGTACTTTTCAAAAAAAAAGCATTACAAAAAACTTTCAGCGCCCTTCAATGGAAAGTGACGTCGCGATAACCAATTTTGACGGTGTTTTACCCCAGATTATCGACTCATTTGGCGTTTTGCCTGAGGGCAACTTGGCGTATTTGATCGTAATCGAATTCTTCTTTCAATTAAATACACTGAGCTATTGCTTTGTACCGTTTACTTATCGATACTTCCATATTGTTCGGTACGTAAGCGATTTGTATTTGAAAATATCGAAAATTGAGATTTTTTGAAGTTTAAAAAGCCATATCTCAGTCAGTTCTGCATAACGCGGTCCAAAATTTTTAAGGATGTGTTATAGAAGCATAATTTATGATTATCTCGAGTTTTGTGAAGATTGCTCAAATGAGATTTTTTGAATTTTTAAGGCTCATATTGTTGTTAGTCTACTAAAACAAAGTCCAAAATTTTGACTAAAATTTTGAAAATCATAGTCTCTTTTATTCCCAATCTATATTTAATTCCAAGCGAAACGAAATTTTTTACGCCACTTTTTCAAATTTCAAAACATTCCATTCGTATTTTAGGAAGACAAATCTCACCAAAACACAGTTCTTACTACTAATTCTCCTTTATCTATGGCCAACCACAGTGCTGGCCATCAGTTTACCGACAATGGCGGCCAAAAGTTTTGGCCTAATGACTGAATTTTTGGGTCCCGCCACGAAAACCTGTCTTCGTCGGATTCCCTTCTTTGACCCTCGATTCGCATCGATTGAGGTGAGTATTAAAGTTCTCGAGTGCTGAAAATCATAGAGCGATATTTTTCAGCCTATCAAGGGATTTGCGTTTTCGGCGTTGTTTTCACTCTTCTTCACGTTCATTTTTCCATTTTTCCTTTGCTATTTCCTGTTCAAAATCTTCAAAAAGCTGAACGAAGATGTGCAGAAGGTTTCGGCGAGTGCGAGTCGGATGCAGCGGCAGATCACGATGACATTGACTGCTCAGGTGAGATTTTATGTTATACTTCGTATGTAAAGTAATATCTTGACAAAAAAGTAGGATAAAATTTGTTTTTGGATAAAATTTTAAATTCAAATTACTTACAACACCATATTCCTTCAGTTTCAATATGATTTTCGATATAAAATTCAAATTTTTTATTTCCCGCCATTTTTGGCATTCTGTTTCAATCGTCGGAAATCACTTAAAAATGCGAAAACTGTTATAGCAAACCTTCAAAAAGGCTCTAAAAATTATTGTCCTCTTTCGAAATCACCTTAAAGCCCCAATTTTCGCCATTTTTCAGTCAGTAGTACCATTAATTTTCGTCGCCTTACCAACCTTCTACGCCGCCCACAATCTCTTTCATAACAAGGAAAAGACCCTATCTTTACGGATCTTTTTTAATTCGCTCTCTGTGGTCCCATTAATCAACCCGCTAACGACTTTATTTATGGTCAAAAACTATCGAAACACCTTGCTGCGAGCCCTGAGAATCAGCCGATTCCAACGCAAAACAACAACAACTTCGGTGCTCAGCAAAGCTACAATTACTGCATTTCCGATGCCACTGGATCCACTCAGATCGACGAGGTCTTTTTGAATAAATTTGCATAATTTTAAGTAATTAATTAATTAGCATAATTAGGAAAATGCGTATTTGAAATCACACAAATTTGCATAGAATATTCAAAAATCTTGTTTTTTCTATTTCATAAAGTGCATCGATATTTTTCGTATTTGCACTGCATTTTGAACCTTTTCCCATGCTTGTCGCCAACGCACAGCGCATTTTTCTCTTTTCGCACAGTGCAAACTTCCAAAGAAGCCGTTATTTCGCACAGTGCAAACCTCCAGAGAAGCCGTTTGCACTGTGCGGAAAGAGGAAAATGCACTGTGCGTTGGCGACAAGCGTGGGAAAAACTTTATTTTGGAAAAGAAATTACCATAAACATTACCAAACAATGAAAATTGCATTGCCGCCTTGATGCATTCAGTCAAGACGACGGCCAACCAATAATTTTGCAGTCAAATCCTTGTCTAATAAAGTCCTTTTCTCATCTACTAAATCGTGGCAACAGTATTCCGAAGAAGCCCTTGGCATGGCGTCTATTTTATTGGCAAATAAAAATTTCGCTTCGAGACTCAGAATCCGGGCCGGGCCGACATGAAATTCGGCCGACGGGCCGAAATTTCGGCCCGGCCCGGGAGCCATGTCTAGAAAGGGTTCAAAAGTGCACTGTGCGTAGGCGGCAAGCGTGGGAAAAAGTTCGAAATGCCTGCGCGTTCGCGACAAGCGTGGGAAAAAGTTCAAAATGTACTGTGCAAAAGATACCAAATGTCCCTGCACTTTATGAAAACGCTAATATTCCAAAAATCTTGCCTAGCAATGCGGAATTTCAACAAAATTACCGGGTACTTTGTTCGTCCTCCGTGTACGAATCTTTTGTAACATACATTTAAGTCATGCCTGCTCCATTTCCCAAAGCGCCAATTATTTTTTGAAGGATTGACACTATATAATTCTAATTAATAAACACCATACTACCCAAGTTGAATTCAATTACGCAATAATAATTGCATTCCGTAGACGTTGTTTACACAGTCGTCAAAGTTCACCTTGTTGGAGCGGTCGATGGACGTTGAGGTGTGTGTTTTGTCTGAGCGCTTCCGAAACAGTCGTATCATCTTGGCGGACGAGATTTTCTGCACGATTTTGTATGTGCTTCTTCTAATTTTACTAGTCTACCTTGGTGTTGGAGGGAAATGTTCGCTGAAGACATTTCATTTCAACTTTCGGGTAAGATTTTGCGACGAATTTTGCATTCGAGAAGTAACAAAAAATGTAGCAAAATACCTCCCTCTTCAAGCGAAAAAACTCCGATTTCAAACGCGCGCCCGCTCTTTTTGTAATCGAATATCTGGTGTGACAACATCCATGTGATCTCGTAAGACTACGAGTTATAACAATAGACAAGTGAAACCCCGGGCACTAGACTTTTTCGACGCTTTTTCACATCGGCAACTTCCGGAAAAACAGCTTACAAAAATGAATTTTCACTTCTATTAGGTTGTTCAATATGAAATGTCGGATTTTAACCTTTAACTTTAAAACACCATAACTTTTTTTATGATAAACTTTATTAACCGAAATAAAAACCATTAGAATCAACACACTTTTGCCAACAAGAAACAAGTTTATTTATGCCAGTAGCGTAAAAATCCGCAGTTCTGGAGGCGATAAAGTCGGCGAAGGCGGTTTTGGCGTCGTCTTGGTTTTTGAAGCATTTCTCCTGCAGGAAGTTGTCCAGATGCTTGAAAAAGTAGTAATCGGTGGGCGAGAGGTCCGGCGCACGTCAATCCAGCGCATTTCCTGAACCGTTTCGAAACTTCGTACCGTTTTCATTGGTTTAAAAGAGAGACGAAATGTCGCGAAATTATCGGCACTTTTTCTCGCCCGAAATAATTGTTTTTTTCTCGAAAAGGAAGAAGAAAGGTAAGAAAATGCGTTTTATCGGATTTTGAACGAATCACCAAAAAAGGGGCGGGAAATTTTTTCTTCTATTTTGGATTGACGTGCGGCGAGTATGGTGGATGAGGCAGAGTTTCATAGCCCAATTCGTTCAGGTTTTGCAGGGTCGGTTGTGCAACGTATCTAGTAACGATGCTGTGTCAGCCTCTTCTACGTAATAGTACCAATCCGAGACCAGCAACGGCTGAAAAAAGGACGTGACTTGAGTTGCTTCGTACCCTACCAAAAATAGGGGCACCTCCAAGTTTTTAGCATAGAAAATCCCGGCTATGCCGTAAGGCTTAGCAATACACCCTAGATGAAGCTTCGATAAGCCCTCTATTAGTCTATAAGCATGTTGAAATAAGGAGGGATCTGAGCTAGAAAATAATCGACTTCAAACTTATGCAAGAAAATGGTCATAACCGACTTTCTTAACTTTATTTTTCCAGTTAATCCTGTACAATGTGTGGTTGATAATCCTGATCCAGGCGGTCTGGGGCGTGGCCTCTAACGTCTACTTCATCTTCATCAAGTTCTATTTTACTGGCTTCTGCAGCAACACGCACGTGGCATGGCAATGCGCGCTGATCAAGTGGCCGTTGCTGTGGACCGTGCCGGCGATGAGTTTCGTTCATCTGGTGGGGTTTGTGGAGAGGACCTGGGCTACGAGATTCCCGCGAAACTACGAAAATACCGGCAGATTTTGTGGTGTCTTCTGGATGATTATTACGGTAATTTTGGTTTGGATTTATTGTTTTTTGACCATTATTTTTTATATCATCATTTCAGTGGCTAGTCATTTTGGGAGTTAACATCAAAGCCTTTGATATTCCGGATTACCAGGCTTACTCCGCATACTGTATGGTTACCGTGCCGGCCAACCAAAACTCCATTCAAAATTTAATGCACTTCCTTCTCGCGTTGGATGTGGTCGTCACGGCGGGCGATTTGCTCGTTCTATGGTTGAACAAAAGCAGGAAAAGAGCTAGGTACTGTACAGTTGAGCCTGAACTCTACCCCTTTTTTGATTTTTGCCAAAAAATCTGAACTCTCCCTCCCCCTTTTTGAACACTCCCCCATTTTGAAAATCGAAAAAACGAGGTGTGACATGTTATACGATGGAAATTTTTTCAAATCGAAATGAATAAGGTGTGACATCTTATACGATGAAGAATTTTTTCAAATTTTTTCAGTTTTCTCAATTTGAAAAAAAATTTTCATCGTATAAGATGTCACACCTAATTTTTTCAATTTTCAAAATGAGGGGTAGTGTTCAAAAAGGGGGAGGGTTCATTCAAGGGGGAGTGTTCAAAAAGGGGTGAAGTTCAAAAAGGGGTAGAGTTGAAAAAGGGGTAGAGTTCAGAAAACGGGTAGAGTTCTGCCGCAACGCTCTTAGAAGTCTGTCAGGAAAGCAATGAGCACAATTTCAACGCCAATAGCGTCGCCAAACTAAAAAACAATTCGATTTTGCCGCGATGCGATTCATTTTTTCGGCGGTGATGCAATTTTTGATGCGACAGAATGCACATTGTTTTCTCCACAGACCGAGAGCATTTTCAAAAAGTACAATGGAGAATTTTTGATGAGACTCTCTCATGAGGTCATTATTTTCCCTACAGGCTTTGTCAAGGCGTTTCTGCCCGCCCAGCAGTACTAGTCTGTTCGTATCAGTCTGCCGGGAATATAACGGCGGGAATATTTTTTGCCTCGTCGAAAAAGGGCTAGTTATGAGCATCTCCGTTTTAAATTTGCGACAGATTTGGCAACCTTCCCAATAACTCGTTGATTGCAGTATCTACGACAACTACAGCTTGTCCAGATCCTTTCAACAGCACGAGAACTACATCACCAGTCGGTTGGTGTTGCCGGTCTCGCTGACCCACTCTGTGTTCTTCATGCTCTACCTTGCCGCCACCTCCATTTGTCGCTACTTTTGTGGCTATGGCGGGGATCCGGTGCCGTTCGTCGCTGGGCTTATGTTCATTCACAATGTAAGCAAAACTATTTTTTTGGTCGTATATATTATATACAGCAGCATAGTAAATATTATATTAGGTTGTCCAGAAAGTTCGTTCGTTTTTTTCATTGCTCTGTTTTGCAAAGATTGTTTGTTGTTTGGCGAAGGGTATATATTTATTTGATGCAGTTTTTTCTTCTCTACAAAACTATGTATTTATGTAAATAATAACAAACAATTTTTGTAAAACAAAGCAATGAAAAAAACGCACCAACTTTCTGGACAACCTAATATTGTATTTACTATAGTCATAAATTTCAGATCCTCATCATGGCTTTTGCCAGCTGCCTGCTCGTTTTCATCGTCTGTTGGAAGCTCATGGAGAAGGAGAAAGGCCTCCAAGTCGGCGAGAAACACGGTGAATCCACCGAACTGTACTTTAAAATACTGCGGGGGCAATTGGGTGCGGACCTAATCTAATAATATTTTCTACCATTCCGGCTATGCGTAGGACATGTTGGGTGCTTTCGGAGTTCTGTTCGTCCTCGCTAATGATGCAGCAAGGTCGGCTGCCGAGGAATCGTTGTATGGAGAAGTTGTCTTCGGGAATTCCTTCTGCTAGTCGTTTCAAAAAGTCACGTAGACTTTTTGTCGTGGGCCGCAACGTGCAAAAAACTCCTTTTTGCACCGTACAAGGGTAATAGCACAGCGATGCAAGCTTTTCTCAACGAAGCCGGCGCGAATTTTTGGGAGCACGAAAAAAAAGTTTCACAGGTTGCCTGGGGGGGGGGCTATCAGTCTGTCGGGAAAATTACGACATGTCGTCACAGCAAAATGTTTCGCCTCATCGAAAAAAGGGTGAGGTCGCACCCACCCCAAATTTTCAGTTTTGGCATGCGTCGCAAAGCGATGATGGGCAGTTCCAACGTGTGACGAACCGCCGCCGTTATTTTCCCGACAGACTGATACATCTGTAAAAAAATTTCGCTGCATTTCGAGCTGCGAAAATCGGGCCCCCTTACCATCTTTTCTTCGACCTCGGCTTGGAAGTACCTCCCTCTCATCCCATAGCTACGCTTTTTGCTACGCCCCTGCCAGCGGCAAATTGATGATTTTGCTAATTCGTTTATGAATAAAGTTTTTACGACGTTTTGTTATCCCTTTCTTTTCGTTGTTGTGTGATCTCTTAGAGTCCGTTTTGCTGAAAGAGAACCCTCTTGAAACACCGTACCCAGCCATCATTCCGCTTCTCCAATGTTCTAGAAGCGAATACGTTTTGGAAGACAGCGTGATGTTCGAGTTTTTTGTTGCTGTTGGAACCGTGAGAAGTGCTCCGGAAATCTCGGAAAGGCCCGGGAAAATCGGGCTCTTGAGGCGCGACTTGGGACTTGGCACAGAGTCAGAACTAAGGTTTCGTAAAATTTGGACTATTTTTATTTCTAATCTGTGAAAAATATTTGAAAAAAATAACGGCGATTTTCACGAATTCGTAGGAAAATCACATGGGAATGTTGCGAAATGTGGGAGGAATTTTGATTTAGTGTACTATATATACTATAGTATGTTATTTAAAATTAATTTTCTTGACAAAATCTTCTCCAAATCTCGTCGCATTTCCTGAGCCTCTACGAAGGCGATGACCGACAAACCTTTCGTTAATTAAGCGATAAAACGCGTTAATCAAGCGATAAACCCCTAATCTTTTCGTTAATACGACCCATAACATTCTGGATTAGGCTGAAGATGGGGGTTTTGTGAGGAAATCCGTCGTTTTTCTTGTATTTTAATTAATATTGGTATTCGAAATTTCTGAGGACAAGATTGCCGGATACAAAAAAAAACATTACACGTTTCCTTTCTGGATGTTTTGGGAGTCTACAAACAGGTTTCAAAACCGTTTATTGTGTCGTATTTTTCCAAAAAAGGAAAAAGAAAAAATGTTTTTGCAAAGTGCACGTCCGTGTTCGTATTTGGTCAGGAAATGACACCATAACTCTTTGTGATGCTAAATTTAGTTTTTTCCCCCAAAAAATTACAGTAATCCAGCCGTTTTCCGGCGGTTTTGCACTGCACTGTGCGAAATTTTGGACTGCACTGTGCGGATTTCTCAGTTTAAATTTTGCACGGTGCAACAGACAAAAAGTTCTCCTGGGACACTGCACAGTGCAAAGTGCTTGTCGCAAAAAGGAAAAACTCGTTGCACTGTGCGGAAGAATGGAAAAAAGCTTGACTACACCGTGCAGTAAGGATTTTGGAACGATCGCACTGTGCGCTTTTTCTTTTTGTCGCCGAATTCTCTGCACTGTGCGAAATTTTGGACTGCACTGTGCGGATTTCTCAGTTTAAATTTTGCACGGTGCAACAGACAAAAAGTTCTCCTGGGACACTGCACAGTGCAAAACACTTGTCGCTAAAACGAAAAACTCGTTGCACTGTGCGAAAAAATAGAGGAAAGCTTGACTGCACCGTGCAGTAAGGATTTTGAAATGAGCGCACTGTGCGCCTTTTCTTTTTGTCGCCGAATTCTCTGCACTGTGCAACGATTGCATTTTCAGTGCGATATTTTTCAAATTCCCCTTGCACTGTGCAGGCAGACGGTCTTACTGCACTGTGCAATAGCCATGAAACCCTAAGGATAAAAAGACAAAAACTTGGACTACTAGTGGTTCCAGAAAGTGTGTAAACTTTTCGTCGTAAGCCGCGTGCAAAAAAACCTTTTTGCGGAGTGCATTTGACCGGTTACAACATGCAAAGTGCGATGCGACAAAGGCCGAAAAATGTCTGCGCACTTTCTGGAACGACTAGTATTATCAGCATTTTCACAAAGTGCATGGATTTTTCCATTGTGCACTTTGTGAAAATGCTAATCTTACATCTCAATAAATGAATTGTTAGCCAGACAATTGCATTACCAAAAGGGGGCGGAGTCTGAACCCACAACTCACTGTGCGATCTTCCAATTTTCTTACTGCGTAATGCGGTTCAATCAGCGACAAAAGGACAGCACAGTGCGACCGTTTAAAAATTTTTTTCCGCACGGTGCAGTCAAGCTTTTTTTTCATTTCTTTCGCACTGTGCAACCAGTTTTTTTGTTTGCGCTTTGCACTGTGCAGTCCCAGGAGAAATTTTTGTCTATTGCACAGTGCAAAATTTCAATTCAAAAAGCCGCACAGTGCAGTTCAAAAATTTCGCACAGTGCAGCAAAGTTTTTCGTTTGCGCGACAACTGCACTGTGCAGTCCCAGGAGAAATTTTTGTCTATTGCACAGTGCAAAATTTCAATTCAAAAAGCCGCACAGTGCAGTTCAAAAATTTCGCACAGTGCAGCAAAGTTTTTCGTTTGCGCGACAACTGCACTGTGCAGTCCCAGGAGAAATTTTTGTCTATTGCACAGTGCAAAGTTTGAACTGAAAAATCCGCACAGTGCAGTCCAAAAGTTCGCAATCGTTGCACAGTGCAGAAGATTTGGCGACAAAAAGAATAAACGCACAGTGCGATCATTTCAAAATCTTTTCTGCACGGTGCAGTCAAGCTTTCCTCTATTTTTTCGCACAGTGCAACCAGCTTTTTTGTTTGCGCGACAATGCTTTGCACTGTGCTGTCCCAGGAGAAATTTTTGTCTACTGCACAGTGCAAAATTTCAACTGAAAAATCCGCACAGTGCAATCAAAAATTTCGCACAGTGCAGTGCAACAATATGGCAAAAGTCCTGGATTACTGTAGTTTTATGAGGGAAAAATTAATTACAGTATTAGCAGAGACTTATAGCGTCATTTGCTGACGAAATACGAACATTTTTTCCGCAATTTCTCATAAAAATTGTAATTTATTCGTCTTCTCCTCTAAAAAAGTCATAATTAATGTAAATTTGGATTCATTTTTTTGGAAGAAGTTGTCCTTTTCAACAGGTCAAACACTGAAGCGGCAATGGCCAAAGATATCATGGGATTTCTCGAAAAAAATAAAATTTTTTTGCACTTTTGGCTTGTTTTAAACCCTGAACTTGAACGGATGTGTAAAATGGCGACAAATTTTGTTTTCCCGTCGCAAATTTTCGGCCAAATTTGATTTGGCGCTGGTCATCTGGCCCTCTCGCTAATCAGGTTTGCCCTCAAAGGCATAAAGAGTATAGTAATAGTTGTACTTGGGGGAGTTCTATGGCTGTTTTGGTTATTTTGGGAGGAGAATTTAGATGGTAATGTGAGAAAATTGGTTTTACTCGATATTCAGAGCGATTTGGGTTCAAATTTCGGTATTAAAATTTTTGAAATTTGAATATTCAAATTTTTCAAATTTCAAAAATTTGAATTTCCCGCCAAAAATTTATGAAATTTGTCCCTACATCTTTTGTTCAGCAAAAAAATTTGATTTTTATAACTCATTTTTTCGAATTTCCCGTCAAATAAAAAATTTTGGCATTCTGCATCAACCATTTTTCCACCCAAAAATCAACCCGGAAACTTTCAAAAACCGGAAATTTGATCCATTTTTGACCCAAATCCCCCTTTTCCCACACTTCCCCCCTTCTTTTTAAGACCATTCAAACCACATCCCCTTAGGGTATGAGTTAAAAATTCACCTTTCAAATGGTATCTCAAGTGCTCTTCAACCCCCCGAAAATTCTGTCTCCGACTTTTTCGGAACGTGCCAAACTTCAGCCCGGAGGCGAATTCCGCCTCAGGGCGGGTTTACATTACGTGGGGGATTAGGCGCGATATTCGCGGATGGGATTTGGGCTTTTTGCCGCCTAATTCGCTTTTATAATCCCCATTGAATGTCTTTGGAAATGGGCGAAGAGTTGTTTTACTCTTTTTTCGCAGTGTTTTGGCTTTTTTTCGCGATTGCACGGCGCATTTTTTGATTGCACTGTGCGACGGATTTTTTTTGATTACACGGTGCAATCATCTCCTATTGTCATTTTTTTCAAATTGCACTGTGCGAATTTTTCATTCCGCACTGTGCAGTTTTTGTCGCTCTGTTGTTCGATTGCACTGTGCGGATTCTTTTCCTTCTCACTTCGCACTGTGCGGTTTTTGTCGCTCTATTATTTGATTGCACTGTGCGGCAGATTTTTTTTCCGCCGCACTGTGCGGATTTTTTCCTCTTCATTTCGCACTGTGCGGATTTTGTCGCTCTATTCTTTGATTGCACTGTGCGAATTTCTGTTTTTTTCGCACAGTGCACTCGTCTCCTGTTGGCGCTTTTTTCAAGTTGCACTGTGCGGATTCTTTTCCTTCCCATTTCGCACTGTGCGGTTTTTGTCGCTCTATTATTTGCTTGCACTGTGCGCCGGATTTTTTATTTTATTGCACCGTGCAATCGTCTCCTGTCGGCGTTTTTTCAAATTGCACTGTGCGGATTTTTTCTTTCTCATTTCGCACTGTGCGGTTTTTGTCGCTCTATTATTTGATTGCACTGTGCGTATTTCTGCTTTTTTTCGCACAGTGCAATGTTTTTCGGAGCTTTCTTTCGCACAGTGCAATACCTTTTTTCCATTTTTTCTACAGTGCAAGCCCAAAATAATTTTTACCAATCCAAAAAAATGTCTGAAGGCGTATTTCAACCGCCAAATTAATGGCCTCAGGGCTTTTATAACTTCATAATAACTCTGGTTTCGGGCCGG